CGAATACGATGTTCACTACACGAGTTTCTCGATGTTAATGAGCTCTCGCCCCACCCGCTGGCTAATCTACTGCGCATCCAATATTCAGAGACACAAATAGACTTGCCAAACTGTACCTATACTACAAATTACCTTGCAATTACACATTGAAAAAGAAACTCCCCCCGCCACGTTTGTCTGCCTGCCTGAACAAGATAACCAACACTTGTGAGAATTTCACAAAACCGCAAAACGTGCTTCGTTACATAATCGAAAGTTTTCATAGTGTTCAGTGGAAATCTCAAAGTGTTTCTAGAATTCATTGTGGATTTCCATCAAGTGTCGGCCAATAAATTCACATATGAACACTATAAAGTCAAAAAATATCGAAAAGATTTTCATTGGACGGAGTGATTCAAGAAGAAGGTGTTTGAGTATGATTAATTAATGTCTGGTGTAAAATAGTTGAAATATGACGATATAACCGGTGTGAAGTCGGGGTGATACCCGAGTGAAGTCGTGGAGCTTTAAAAAAAACGATTCCTAATATCTTTGAGATATAACGAAACAATTCATATTGTTCTTTTTTTGAGAGTCAATGAAGAAGTCTGCGATGCCATGTGTCTATCATGCTAAACCCATTTCAATGTTCGAAGAAATTGTGGTAATTGGAAAGCTATTTAGACAGATATTAATTTTATCAAATTAAATACGTTAGTATTTGTGCATTTCATGCACATCATAATTACCTTAAACCATACAATTCAAATAAACACCTTATAGGTGTTATGGCAAAATTAAAAATGTCGTTCAACAAATTAAATTCAAGAGGTCTCATACACTAATAGAACACGCTTGTTGAAGAATGGTTTCAAGTGCATTGGTTTTGTTTTAGGTAGTGAATCGCTTTAAATGTTGAAGACACATTTTGTTTTGTGTTTGGTGTTATGTGTTTCTGTAGCTACATATCTCAATAAAAATGTAATTACAATTAATTGCAATTAATACAAATCATGAAATTATGAAACAACAACAACCAAAATTAATTGGCGCTCTGGGGCGACTTGATTGATTCCATTTGTGCATTTGCTTTTTCAGCTGCAGGAAAACCCAGAAAAACCTGCAGCACCACATCATCTGAAGATTTTAATCTATCAATGTCCTCTCTTTCCTAGAATAAAATGTAGGGTGTCTCCAGAGGCTCCAATAAATTCAAGATATCGCTAGAATATTTAGTGACACGACTATCGTCAAAATTAAACCAGTCCGTTTCGTCTTTGACCAATGCGTAATAATGGGGAATGCTCCTCCTGACAAAAATCAAGTAGTTTTCATAAAAGGGCTCTAAAACAACACATTTTAAACTTATCATTTCAACCTTTTTCTTCAAAAATTTATTTAAATACTTAAAAAAGAGGAACGAAATAATGTATTCAACATTTGACAATGTAATGTATTTCACCATTTGACAACGTCGGTTATAGCTAATAAAGGACAATGAATCTGTTACCTGTATGAAACAAACAAAGATGACATATTTCAGAGGCGTGCTGTTCTGTTTACTTATGTTCCGAGTTCCGAGACATTCTGTGACATATGACATTTTGGCACCTAACCTATCTTCCTCTATATAAATAAATAACAAAACAACTGTTGTTTATGTGGCCTGTGGAGGTGGTATTGAACTATAATTTATATTTTGCCTTAATTGTTGATTTATAAAGATAATTTTCCTTTTTTAAAGTAGAATATCTAAGGTACGTATAAATTATTTCAACTTGATATATGAATTAGAAACAAAACCCAACATTTGAAACATCAATTTGAATACTTTTCGAAGTGAATTTGAAAAACTCATGAATTAAACTCAACTTTATTTTGTTCAAACTTGCATTTGCTGTAATAACCCAAACTGAGGAACACTCCCTATTACCTAATTCAACGCCAGAATCAAGGTGAACAATGACTGCATGAAGATTATAATAGTGGTCTGCTAGATTGAAGTATTGATCTATTTTGAACCTTCGTAAGAATTTGGTGCTTCCGTCAGGGGTTGAGTCATGTTTGGAGATCATCAGTGTTATTATTAGATTGACTGGTGCCTCAGCTATACTTGTTGTCTTATAATAGTCAGTTAGTTTGGTGCATGTTTGGCAATACGGTTGATCATCACCCTTTAAAAGTTTCATTTTCAGATGATTCAACAATAAGCTTTGCACGGACTGGTTATCAGTCGTATTAGGAAACGCTAGTTGAAGTTCCAGAAAGTCAAATACGTTTTTGCTACCTCTTGAACATTTACTACAAAGTAAAACTCAATAAATATTTTTTCTACTGTGTCGTGGTATACACTGATCGATAGAGAATTTTGTACTCTATAGGTACATTGATGCTGTTAATTTTTTTTTCAAATTTTAATTTTTTGCCTCTTTTCGACTATACTATGACGTCATTAGGCGATTTTCGATCAATTTTTCTTCACGAATTCGAATTGAAACAAAGCGCTGCCGAAACAGCCCGAAAAATCAACCAGGCATTTGGCAATGATAATGTTAATGAACACATCCTTCGAGGTTGGTTTGCGAAAATTCATTCCGGAAATTTTAGTCTCGAAGATGAACTCCGAAGTGGTCGACCTACCATAATCCAGGATTTGGAGGATTTGAGGACCCTGGTGGAGACTGATCCATCACAAACGGTGCGTGGAATGGTGGAGGAACTGGGCATCAGCTCCCATGCAGTTTTTGATTGTTTGAAATGTATTGCAAATTGCAAAGTTCGAAAAGCTTGAAAAGTGGGTGTCCCACGAATAGAAAGATCAATAGAAGTTGTTCTTCTTTGCTTTTGTGCAACCGAAACAATCCTCTTTTGGATCGGATCGTCACGTGTGATAAAAAGTGAATCCTTCACGACAACAGGAGTCGTCGAGGACAGAGGTTGCACATCGATAAGCCACCCAGGCACTTTCCAAAGGCGAAAACCTAACAAAAAAGACCACGGTTACTGTATGGTAGTCAGCGGCTGGTGTGATTTACTATAACTTTCTGCAACCGGACCAAACCATCACATCAGAGTCCTATTGTGGGGATATTAACGAAATGTACCAAAGATTGCGTCGGCAGCTGCCAGCCCTGGGCAACAGAAGTGGTCCGATCCTGCTCCACGATAACGCCCGTCCGCACGCTTCACAAATTACCGTCCGAAAATTAAACGAACTGAGCGTCGAAGTTCTGCCGTACACACCATACTCCCCAGACCTCTCGCCAACTGACTACCACTTTTCAAGCACTTCGTTTACTTCATCGAATTCCGGGGATACAATTTTTATGGAATTAATCGAATTGTGGTACGTTGGCAAAAGTGCACTAATTCAAATGGCGCTCATTTCGATTGAATTGAATAAATATTCACTGAGATATTACATTTTAAAGTCGTCTCATAAAAACGGACAAAATTTTTGAATCAACCTTATACCATATTTTCTCCACACTATATATTCATCAATAGCTGTTGCCGTAAGCATATGTAGCGTAAATCCATCAATCACCCTGTAGATCAAAGAAGTTTTTCTGACATAAGTCCGGCCGTACACGGACCACATATTTGCAGTTGAGGCAATCACAACTTCGCGGTTGACCCAACCACATTATTGTGGTCTACTTACTTACTTACTTAAACCGCACTTGCAATTGAGGCAACTGACATCTATATTTTGTGGTGTCAGAGTTTAGTGCCAGTTTCAATATGGATTTTGAAAAAGAAGCACTACTACTTCTTATTTTGAGGAGAAGGAGAAGACGTAGGAAGGTACGATCGTTTTGGGTACATCCACTTCTGGTTGCGCGACAACAGGAAGGAAATTTTTATATTTTGTTTGAAGGTGGTTCACAATGTTTAGTGATGGTAATTAAAAAAAAAATTTAATTACTTCAGAATGTCCATTAGTTCTTTTGATGAATTACCTAGAATTTTGAAATCAAAAATTGAACGCTGTGAGACCAATATGAGAAAAAGTACACGACGGTGTACGCGGTTGTGTACGAATGCAAGTTTGTGGTTAGTGTACGGCGGATGCCGAGATGACATCTCGGCGGAGATCAGCAGCAAGTTGATTTCAGACGCCCGTTTTGACTTTTGTGAACGTCCGTGTATGTGTAGTACAGTATTTCTTATGGGCGACTTGAGTTCGCTGGATCGCGACTGCAATTGTGTGGTCGATCCGACCGCAAAATATGGCTCGTGTACGATTACCATTACATGAGAGTTGCATACGCTATTTTTTCTAAACCCGATAAATAATGAAAAACTATAAATATTATATTTGTATTGAACACATTTACAGTAATTAACTCATATTTAAAAAAAACACAAACTTAATGGTATTATCATGGATATATGAAAACTATAAAGATTCTAATTATATTTATATTGAATATAACAACTGTAATTAATCTGATCTTTTAAAAATATTGGAGTCGATGGTATTCCTTCTATATCGCTGTTTTCAGACATTTTGATAATATAGGTAGGTAATATGAAAACTGATTTTGACAAATAAAGCAATTAGTTACTTAGGTTAGAATCTAGGACAAACAAAGGAACATGATTCTTGATTGAAAAATTATGGGTTTCTATTGGTTGATAATCTGTATCGTTATGAAAAATCTGTATCATAATGGATATCATTATGAAACGGATCATGGTCATATAAGTGTATTGTTAGAGTACGGGTGTAGAAAAATGTGATTTTCGTGCTACAGCTGTCATATTCAGTAGTTAATTATCGGTCAACATACATCAGCTCCGAATAAAATTTTTGACTAGTCTGATGATTGAAAGTAGACATTAAGAAAGAACAATTTCTGGTCATCACGTTCAGTACCTTAGTATTCGTTTCCTTTGCCTAAATCACATTTGAATTGATATTTTGTACTCACCACAACCCATAAAGTCATAAAAAATCGCCTTATCACCATTGAAAACTCGTTAATTGGTTTGACAACTGGCAACAGCGAGCTGTGTTGTTCTACGTCTACAAGGCTTCCATCTTGGATGTTTCATACATGGACTGTCAGTTTTGTGTGAAAAAAAAAGTTTATATTTCGTTACTAATTCGTGTTAATATTCGTTCGATAGGCAAGAAGTGTTTTTAACTTTATTTTGTGTGTTTTGTTGCAAAAATACAGCAACATGACGCAGCAGTTGCTTCCTATAAAGTTCCAGGAACACTTACAGGTAAAAAATAACAAAACGCCCCTTGTCCAGATTTTTCGGTAGTTTTTTATCGTCGTAGTGTTTTCCCAAATAATTATCGATCTTGCGAAGTGCTGTGATCATAGCTTTTAATAATAGAATTATACAAGAGTACATTCCCTCTTCGAAAATTTGACATTTGGAAATTGAACCGGTACTTTGTGTGGGGGCGGCTTGCTTTTTGCTTCATTATTAAATTGATGATTTTTCATTATTACATTGATGATTTTTCATTATTACAAAGACTCGTGAGGTATTTCTCCTTAAAATACCACTTCTCGTTTTTAATGGTGGCTAATAATCCCCCGAGAATTGGGTCATTATTAAAGGGTCATCACATGGAGGGGTGGATTCCTACGAACTTGTTTTACTATTGATTACCTTCTTTAATTTCCTTTTTTGTGTTTCAAACATTCCAAGCCCCTAGGACATTCATCCAAAAGATACATCAAACTAAATTTCTATTTTTTTTCAAGTTTTATAAAACTTTTCTCACTTTTCACTATAGATACCATATTCAAATATTTTTGTACAAAATATACTTCAGATTAATAACTGAAAACTGAAAGAAAAGTAGGTCAGATTGGAAATTTTTATTCATTATCTCATTTTAAGATTCATACCAAATGGTGGTACCATGAAATTTACCTTCAAAATTTTTCTGTTGCTCATTTGGCCTCTTCAGTTTTTCAATTAACCCTATGCTCTTAAAAAGAAGCCCCCAATAGTTCATTGATTTATATTATCCTCTTCTGACAATTTTGGTTTATTGAAATGGATTGTATGGCAGTGCATCTTAGGGTGGATTTGATTTGTTTTGATTTGTAAGAAATTTTAGCCAGTTAATCCTTAATTTTTAGTGGCGACATTGTACAGTGTCACCATGAAAGTCGGTAACATATCAAATTATTATTATTAATACACTTAATGAAATTGGCTTGTGCTTTGAATAAAACCAAAAATAACATGAACACTTGACTAATTGTCAGTTCGTGTCAAAATTGACAATGGAAAGAAGTTTCTTGTACAATTTTATGACCCTGTACCAAATTCCATCAATCTAAGACAATTTTTTATTATAAATTTAAAATAATAAGTCGGTAGATACATTCAGTTCATATTTTCTTCATGAGCCACATCATGTGAATTAGTTTTTATTTCAGTTCTCAATATCTGGAACCTATTTTGTAAGAAAATTTGAATGACTAGATATATAAATTAGGCAAAAGTGTAGCAAATTAGTGAGAGCTTCACTATTTTTAGGAAAAATAATGCATAGTCCACTTTTTATGCAATAAGTACAACTGATGGATTAAAAACTGTTCAAATTGAATGTAACTGTTATGAATTTTAAGTAAAAATATGAAAAATAAAATTTAGTGGCTAATTGAATATCACAAAATACATAGATTAAAAAAATTATCTTCTTACATGTCAGTATGTTGCTCTTTACGCCCAATTCAAACGACAGTTCTTCTGCATACGTCTTTAATGGCATTTCTTATAAATTGGCGTTGAGTTTGAGTTTTATATTTATACAATTCATTTTCATTGTATTCTTCAAATGATGTCGTCAGTGAAAGGTCTACTTTCAAAACTCTCGGCTTCGAATAACCCTATAGAAAAAAGTCCAATGACTTTAAATCAAGTGATCGGGATGGCCAGTAATAATTCCACTCGCATTTTATAACTTAACCTCTAATTGTTTGATTTATGCACTGCTTTACTGCAAGAGTTTAGCGTAAACAAACAACTTTTCTACTGACTTTTTTCGAAATTCTTTGGAGAAATAACGTTTTTCAATTTTGTTTGAAAAAAAAAGCCAATTTTGGCAGCTCTAACTAATAGTTAGTAACAAGAGTTGGTGTTATTTTTGGTCTAAACTCTAAACTAACATTAAAGTCCAATGTCACGTGAATCTATAATTGAAAAAATTCCTATCCTATTGTAAAAAATTACCTCTGGAAACCGGATACCACATAAATGACCAGAACAGTTGACTCATCCAACATTAAAGCTGTGTTTTAAAAATTTCACAAGGTTTATGGGTTACATTGATTTCTCATGGTAGATTCATACACGAAACCTTTACTTTTATACTTTAAAAAAGTTGTTACTATGTAAATCAATACATCCTATCAGTGTGGTATGATAAAGAAAGATAAAAGTTTGGTATTTGAATCAACTATTAGTATCTCAATCTTTAGAAAAATGAATAAATCAAGAGTTCTTTAAAAAATCATAAATAGCTGTTCATATGGATCATATATTGGAAACTAGTCTGAATCATGGCAGTTTCAGTTTTTGTTATATACTTTTCAGTAAAACCTGTTTTATTAATCATATAATTAGTGATGATGAAACGTTTTGCAAGATAATCTATAAGTATGTTCCTTTATGGAAAACAGATGTGAGGAGGTTGAGTGGTAGAATATAACAATTTTCAAAACTGTTCAAAAGTTTAAAAACCTTCAAATTGAGACCTTCCAAGGAATTCAATTTTTTTTTAATGAATTTCATAAAACAATGAATTTTTTGTGTTTGAAAAATGTGGTTAAATTAACTGGTTTTCAGAATAAGTTCACTCTTACAATGGAAGCAGTTATAGGTATCATGAATTTTTTTCTCTTAATACATTCAATACTGTAAGACTTATCGATTTTTCTATACCGTGTATGAAAACAATTACAATCATTTGGAACTGCTTACAGTATTTACACTGAGATAAATTTATCTTGATATCAGTTGTGTATTGTGTATTATTTTTTTATCTCTGAATCTGAGGAGATGAAGTTCAAATGAAACAATAAGTATTGGAATAATTGCCATTGAAATGTGAAAATAATGGCTTAATCTTATGTTCTGTTTGTTTAAATCAAGTTACCAAAAAATTTACAACAGAAATGTTAATAAAACAGTATAGTACATCCATTATTAATAGTCTCTCAACTTATTTTCTAGGCTATGTTTAATGTTGATTTTTTGAAAAGATGCATAATTCTTTCACGATATTTAAATGCTCACAGAAAACAACTTATAATCTGAGGAATAACATTTTTTATGTACATATTTTATAATTTTTATATCTTACTTCAGATTTATTGCTCTTGATTTCAAGATTGACAATAGATGCGTTTTATTACTGGAGTCAGTGGCAGTTCAGAAATTGACAGTATAATTAGTTGACAATGAGTGTTTGATATTTGAAAAATTCATCTCGTTTGTACAAATGTGAAAGTGAGATGTGTTATTTCTGTAGGTCAACTCAGCCAGATAAATATCATGTCCAAGTTTTCCAGCCTGTCTGATGAGGCGCTAATGGAATAAAAATTGAAACAATGAATTATTGTAAATTGAATTCATTCATATACAAAACTGATATTTGTTATTCCTGGCGATCGATTTGACTCGACCATAAGGGAAGAACTACAAAGAATTTTTGAATATTCATGTCTGATGGCTAAATTATAATTTACAATTTTACAAAACATGTAGCAAAGTATGAAATACTAAATATTAATAAATCCTTATGTCTAGTGACTATATTACTAAAAGATGAAACAATTCTGGTACTTACAAGAAAAAAGATGTAACAAATCTGGCACAGACAAATAAAATTGTAAGATAAGAATAGCTTCGAAAACGCTATAGCCTTTTCAATTGATTTGTAAAGACCTGAAGTGATACAATAAACAGATCTAAGTTTTCATGATATTGATTTCCCAGCTTCAAAATACGAGGCATCGGACTGTTCAAAGCATAATTGGTATGGAAAAAATGTATATGAAAAATGTCAGGATTTCTCGTATTTTTTTGTTTAATATGAAAAGTTTTTAGTTGAAGTAGTTCTGTATTATTATTATTAATTTGAAGAGGAAACTCAAGTTCATAGAAATTCTCCTTATACATCTATAAGAAAGTTTTCCAGGCCTCTTGAAGGGGTGAAATATTCCATATTCCAGTGAAATATTGCTACCTCCTCCGACGTCCTAGAAAACTCTGACGTGATGTTTTTATTTTTGAATCGACCTCCAGGAATAGTATATTTCATTTTTATAGGTGTACAAAATAACTTTTTTATTAAGACGAAATTTTTAAATTTTCACCCAATTTGCAAAATGTCAGGATGCCTGGTTGAATCGACCTCTAGGAAAAACAATTCTCAATTTTATAGATGGTTACAGTTAATTGCCAGTGATACGAATTTTTTATTTTTCCACCCTATCTACACCCCTTGAACGGTATGTATTACACTCGCAAGTTTCTATCATAGTATTTTCTAAATCTGAGGCATTTTAGGGTTTTTCCTATTATTATTTCAATTATTTTTTTTCAGCTCACCAATGTTGGTATCAACGCTGCCAACATCACATTTGCCACTCTCACCATGGAGAGTGACAAGTTCATCTGCGTGAGAGAAAAGGTTGGTGAAATATCCCAGGTGGTCATCATCGACATGGCTGATACGTCCAATCCCATCCGTAGGCCTATCACCGCAGAGAGCGCAATTATGAATCCTGCTTCAAAAGTCATTGCTCTCAAAGGTATCGGTATGGCCAGTTTCAAAAAATACTTTTTTTGAAGTATATGTCATAAATTTGGCAACTATTCAAAACAAACAATTCTGATCCGTTTATAAATGCAAGTAAAATGCACGTTGGTTTTGACGTGTTGTGAAGGAACAAAACAACTCAGTTATAAATTATGTTGAAAATGTTTCTAAAATGGCTCCTTTCATCTTTCGTGTACCAATTTTCTGATAGGTAAACAAATGAGTTCAGAGTTTAAATCGGTTGCTTCTAAAGTCGATTACCACTTCTAACAATAGATTCTGAAGTTCTCCCGAAAATTTACCTTTTCAAAAACTATGAATTTGAAAATAGAATGTTTCAATGAGTATTATGTATTTGGTTATTGAACTTCGAATTATTTCATTAATGATTGAAACAACTACACATCGAAAAAGCAGAACAAATAAAAATATGAATTATGAAAAATCGACAGGACTTGCTCTCTTCAACACTATGTTTATGTTCAGTAGTGACACTTGTAGTATTTTTGTAGGATTCAATTGACAGCCATAATTTATTTCTAACAATTTTAAAAAATTCAAATTGTTTAGTATTGGCACCCAGAATGAACTGACAAGAACACCTAAAGCATAGTTTTTAACTTACAAACTTTATCCTTGAAAAAATCAGGGTACATACTCTCAAATGCTGGATATCGAATGGATAGTTAATTTATTTTGACAAATAATAAAAATTGGGTAACATCTCAAAAATGTTTACCTGCATCGATATTTGGAGTGTATTAAAAACTATATACCATTGCAGGTTGGAAACTGTATGGATTAGGTTTTAGGGTATATTTGTTATATAACCACTAGTAGTGAATATAAAAATTTAGAAAACACAAATATCATGGAGAATTGATTTTTAATATTTACCATAGACAAGTACAATTATTGTTTGTGCTCATCAGGTTGTCTCTTATAAGTAAAACACGTTTTTTATTCAAAAAAAAAAATAATATGAAGTCTTCCAAGTTTTTCCAGATGACAAAGTCGTAAAGATCGTTTCAAGGAATTCAAGATAATAACTTTACATGTACTCTACATTTTTTCAATTATGTAAACAAATTTAAAAAAGAAGCCGTTTTACTCTAAGGTATGATATTCATGATAAAGACATCATATATAATTTCAATGTACCAAAATACTGGTCTAGTAAGCTGTAAGTAAATTGAATTGGCTCTACATTTTCAAGGGTGTAATTCTGTTTTAAATAATGGGCATCATCACTGTTCCTTATATTTCTGAGAATGTAATCTGAATTGAACAAATTTCATCATTCTTAGACTAATTCTTAAGTGAACTAGGCTAAATATTTTTGAGATTTTTTCTAAAATGTAATAATTCTGAAGAACTGACAGTATTAGTAGCACATATTTATTTGAAACTAGCTTTTACCCGCTGCTTCTCTCGCATTTATGTGATGAACAATTTTTTTATCTTACATAAAAAATAATTTCTTTTTTAATAAAATATTTTACTTCTAATATCTCCAAGAACATGTGTAAAAAATTTCATGATGATCGGTTGAGTAGTTTTCGCGTGAAATCATAAACAAACTTACATTTATAATTTATAAGCTTTTACTTGCGGTCGCATTTATGTCATTAAATAAGTGTCAGTACAATAGAAATGAATCAATATGAGAAATATATTTTAATGCTTGGCTGGGATTATCAATTTTTAAAAATTATTACATACGATGAAGTTTCGAAAATTTAAAATATGCTTTATTGAAATGCAACAACAAATGTTAAAATATATTTCACTGTAACAAAAATAAATAATTTTCAATTTTTACAATTTAAAAAAATAACCTAATCTCACCTAAAAATAAAAATGAGAAGAAAACAAAAATAATTATAGAAGAATTCCTAAGGGTTGGAACTTCATTACTGGAATGCTAGATGACGTTAAAGTAGCTACATTTTGAGATTTTTTTGACAAACAATTTTTTATCTTCATAATTTTTTTTAATGAAAAGTATCCTATGTTACTTCTAATACCTCCAAGAACATGAGTACAAAATTTCATGATGATCGGTTGAGTAGTTTTCGTGTGAAACCGTAACACACAAACTTACATTCGCATTTATAATATTAGTATGATTATATGTATGTGGAATTATCAAGTAAATGAAAATTCATTATCCTCTACTGAAGTTTCACAAACTACAAGTAAAATAACATCCATGCCTTTGACAAAACCATGAATTATCATATAATCAATTTATGAATTCAGGTAAGGCAGGTGTGGAAACACAAAAAACACTCCAAATTTTCAACATAGAAATGAAATCCAAAATGAAAGCACACACAATGTCCGAAGATGTTATTTTCTGGAAATGGATCAGCCCTAACACTTTGGCTTTAGTCACTGAAACATCCGTATACCACTGGTCCATGGAAGGAGATTCGACTCCACAAAAAATGTTTGATAGGTAAGAACGCAAGTAAATTTTTAAAAACTTGAAAAACATGCCTTGGAATAGAAACAGTAAGTACTTTAGACCAATAAAATCTAATTACATATCTGTCTTTCAGACATTCCTCTTTGAACGGTTGTCAAATCATTAACTACAGGACAGATCCAAAACAAAACTGGCTACTTTTGGTTGGTATCAGTGCTCAACAATCTCGAGTCGTGGGAGCTATGCAGTTGTACTCTGTGGAAAGAAAATGCTCCCAACCAATAGAAGGGCATGCCGCCTCTTTTGCCACCTTTAAAATGGAGGGTAATCCCGAACCATCGACTCTCTTCTGTTTCGCAGTGAGGACTCTGCAGGGTGGAAAGCTGCATATTATCGAGGTGAGAAAATCGCAAGATTGAAAAAATTGGGTTTTGGATTATTATTATTCTTCCTAAAATCATATTTCATTTTCATAGAACAAGTTTTTTCTGGAAAATATATTTGCAACACAGAAATTTCAACTTTGTAGTCCTGTGACTTTTCAAATAGAATTTTTTCAAAATTTCCACGTTGGTTCATGTCGGATCATGCATGAAGTTTGGCAAAGGTAATCAACCTCCTAGACATACACCCTGACTTGGTCAATCATCGTAGTCAGTCATTCTATACAATAAGATTTTGCAAATGTCTATCAAAAGAATGAAACGTTTATATTGGACGAGAGTAATACATACTCTGACTTGGTCAATCATCGTAGTCAGTCATTCTATACAATAAGATTTTGCAAATGTCTATCAAAATAATGAAAAGTTTATATTGGACGAGAGTAATACATACTCTAGATAAGCCCTGCTTCTCTTTCGACTATTCTACGTGGTACGATTAGGCAAATGCCATAACTTTTAGAAGAAAAAAAGTCTTATGTATCTTCATTTAAGGAGTATTGAAAATACCCTGCTATCAAATTTTTAGGTCTACACATTGATGAAATTGAAATTTATTGAACCCATTCTCTAAATGATATGTCATTTGGGTATTAACAAGGATACAGGTTGTATTCATTCGCTCAACTTTAGTCAATAACTAACATTTTAGCATTCAAATTTATTCCAAATTCTATTTATAGCAGGAGTTAACTTGATGATTTCAATTAAACTTGAGTAAGGACTATGTAAAAAGCCAATTCTTTATAAAGGAATACTTATGTTAATAATTTGTGAACGTATTGAGAAAAGAGAGTTATCAATTTTTCATAACACTTTTATGAAAACATGAAGTTATTAGGCTTATTTTATTGAGTCGAGAGTCTTTTCAAATAATGTTTGTTTTCTGTTGAGAAAGTAGTACTATGTACTTTTCAGGTTGGTCAAAGTCCTGCTGGTAACCAACCATTTCCCAAAAAGACCGTTGATGTATTTTTCCCTCCGGAAGCACAAAACGACTTCCCAGTGGCTATGCAAGTTTCCGCCAAATACGATGTCATCTATCTGATAACCAAGTACGGATACATCCATATGTATGATATTGAGAGTGCCACATGCATATACATGAATCGAATATCGAGCGAAACCATCTTTGTTACTGCCCCACATGAAGTATCTGGTGGTATTATTGGTGAGTTTTTAGTTTTATTTATGGATAGTGAATATCTTCAACTTTTTGGTTTACCAAACTTTTTTAGGTGTTAATAGAAGAGGTCAAGTCTTGTCAGTTTCCGTAGACGAAGAGAGCATAATTAGATATGTCAATACAATTCTTCATAATGCGGATTTGGCGCTACGTATGGCCATCCGTAGCAACTTAGCAGGTGCAGAAGAACTATTTGTCAGCAAATTCCAGATGCTTTTCCAAAATGGACAGTATGCTGAAGCAGCGAAAGTTGCTGCCAACGCACCAAAAGGTATTTTATTAAGCATTTTTTTCTGGAAGGACATTGGTAATATATTGTTTGTTATATTCAACTAAGAGATTGGAAAATATTTTATATCCAAATGTAACAATTATACCTTTTGTCATTTTTTTAGGTATCTTGAGGACTCCTGCTACAATCCAAATGTTCCAACAAGTGCCAACTCAAGCTGGGCAGAATAGTCCACTTCTTCAGTACTTCGGTATACTTTTAGACCAGGGAAAGCTGAATCGGTATATTTTCTATTTAGTGTAAACGTTCTGGAACTGATTTAGGTATTTTTTATAGATACGAGTCTTTGGAATTGTGCAAACCGGTTTTGTTGCAAGGACGAAAACAGTTATTGGAGAAGTGGTTGAAAGAAGATAAACTGGAATGTTCTGAAGAATTAGGAGATCTTGTCAAACAAGCTGATCCTACTCTCGCTCTATCTGTCTATCTTAGGGCCAACGTACCAGCCAAGGTGAAATATTGGTTCATTATTGTGTTAACTCTGCTTACATGAATAACAAATGATACATTTCAGGTAATTCAAAGTTTTGCTGAAACTGGACAGTTTCAAAAGATTGTCCTCTACGCCAAGAAAGTATCTTATACTCCTGACTACATATTCTTGCTTCGCCAAGTTATGCGTACGAATCCTGATCAAGGAGCAGCTTTTGCTGGTATGCTGGTTGCTGACGAAGAGCCATTAGCCGATATCAACCAGATTGTAGATATTTTCATGGAGCAGAACATGGTTCAGCAGTGCACCGCATTCTTGTTGGACGCTCTGAAGAATAACAGGCCCACCGAGGGACATTTGCAGACAAGGTTTGTGCTTTTTCTTAACAGTTTCAAAAGTTTATATGATTGTAATTCGAAATATATGGGACAAAATTAGTGAATTAGAAAATTGGTTTTGAGATGCACATTCTTAGCAAAAAAAAGAAATATGTAGTTGTGCGATTATTCAAAATAATTCACTGGAAAGCAACCAATGAAAAGTCACACAATTGATTGAACTTATTGCATAAGAAGTGAATTGAATATTTGCATTGGCCATAGCGTTTATTATGCAGTGACAATCTCACATATTAACCTTGATATATAGGTTGGGGCCGAGCCAGAGAATCCTTGATAGTTTTTGTTTCCCATAAATATTTTCTACAGTGCCTGCTATATACATACTTTAGTGTATCATGTTTGCTGGAAATGTTATAGCAGATTATCAATGTTACAATAGAACAAGTTATACCACATTTCAAAATGAGTAGAAGCCTTTATATATGAAAGATACTATTATGGTTTCAAAATTTCCAAGAATTTTTAGATAATTATTTTCAAAAAGAAAACATTACTTCAGTTCTTTGAATATATGTTTTTATAAAAGATCTTTCATATGTGTATCTGTATTTGTAAGTTTGCATACAGGTACATAACTATGCAAATTTTTCTTTATTGTATTTTAAATGATGCACTATACATATAGCTGGGAAAGAAAGATTTTGACTTTCTACTTTTCCATCTTCATACAAAAAAATGTGGAAATCTTGCAAAGAAATGAAGAAAGCAATCAATTTCAAAATAAACTCTTCACAAAGGTGTGTAGATCGTGCAAAGGGTAACTTTCAGACACAAAATGGAATAATAAAACCCTCTTGAAACAACTACTATCACATGAAAATTGAATTACATGAAAGAAAAAATAATTTTGAAAAAGACACTGAAGAGGAATATGAATCGCAAAGTGACAGAGGAAACAAAAAGACTGAAAAATATTACTGTAGATGAAGGGCAATTCAGCCTATAAATGAGTAAAAGAACATATAAAATAAATACACATTAAAAACAACATATTAAATAAGTTAATAAAATCATTCAATGAATACACAACAAATAGCAAAACATTGAAGAAAAAGTAGATAGAGGATGTAAAGTAAGTGATTTTATGGGTTTCTGGGCAAAACTCCGGGTATTGCCATGGTGAACCAAAACATTGACGCCGGTCGTGAAAGCTTACATTCCTAAATGATTTTATGGGGTTCCAGAGAAGAGAATATATAAAATATGTTTGTCATTTATGTTTTTTGTCATAGGTTATTGGAAATGAATCTGATGTCAGCTCCTCAAGTAGCTGATGCCATTCTTGGAAACAATATGTTTACGCACTACGACAGGCCACATATTGCACAGCTCTGCGAAAAAGCCGGTCTGTTGCAACGAGCCCTCGAGCATTACACTGATCTGTATGATATCAAACGTGCAGTTGTACATACTCATCTCCTACCCGCAGATTGGTTAGTCAACTTCTTTGGCACACTGAGCGTCGAGGACAGCTTGGAATGTTTGAAGGCAATGCTTACTGCCAACATCAGACAGAACCTGCAGATATGTGTTCAGATTGCTACTAAGTACCACGAGCAGCTAACAACAAAGGCTTTGATTGACTTATTTGAGAGTTTCAAAAGTTACGAAGGTATGTCATCGTTAGTGTTAATTTATACTTACAATTTTATTCATTTTCAAATGCATTCAAATATATAGAGATCTATACCTTCTGTTCAAAAACTATGATAATTATTTCATGAATGCTCCTGTAAAATATTAGAAAAATTAGACTCTAATGAAATCTCTAATATGAACAGATTTGTGTTTTGAAGTAAATGAAGGAATGAGGACATCCATATATACATACATATTAAAATCTGTTAGAGTTGTTATTCAATTTATGTTTCAATTGTATCTGATCTTTTTTCATTGCACAGATTCAATAATTACGAACCCTGTCAACTGACTGAGCTACCGAGAGTGCAAATTATAATTACAGTAATCTAGAAATAATTTGTTGACTGTAATAACATGTCATGAATACTCTCTTGATTACCTGATACTTTGGGTCATGGAAAACTGTATTATGTGGGCTTCCACAAGGATCTATTCATATGATGATTTGAAACAATATGTTGAATATCATAATAAAACTGTCAATTATTCATCATCTGTCAAGTTTTTAGGGCTTCATATAGATGAAAATTTATCTTAGTGGGAACATATCAAAATTTTACGTAAACAAATGTCCCCCATAATTGGAGTACTTTTCAAAATTATACATTTTTGTTACATGTAAAATATTTGAAATATTTTTTTTTTGTGAATTTGAAACACAGTATTTGATATCAGTTTGGGGAGCAGCATAATTTCCTGGGTTCGATAGTCAATTTCTCTCAGGATCAAGAAGTCCATTTCAAATACATCCAAGCAGCTTGCAAGACAGGTCAAATCAAAGAAGTAGAACGGATTTGCAGAGAATCCAACTGTTATAATCCTGAACGTGTCAAGAATTTCTTGAAAGAAGCCAAGTTGACCGACCAACTGCCTCTAATAATTGTCTGCGATCGTTTCGACTTCGTTCACGATTTGGTTTTGTACTTGTACAGAAATTCCCTTCAAAAATATATCGAAATTTATGTCCAGAAGGTTAATCCCAGTAGGCTACCGGTAAGTATCAATATAACAAATAATTCACATATGAATATTGGAGTCAGGAGTCTGATTACAGTAATTAAAAAGTAGGATCATGTGTTTGTATTTAACATGTCATTTTAGGTTGTTGTTGGCGGCCTCTTGGATGTCGATTGTTCCGAAGACATTATTAAAAACTTGATACTTGTCGTGCGAGGTCAGTTCTCCACCGACGAGCTGGTCGAAGAGGTAGAAAAAAGGAACAGGTTGAAATTACTTCTTCCCTGGTTGGAGAGTCGAGTTCATGAAGGTTGTGTAGAACCGGCTACACACAATGCTCTAGCGAAAATTTATATTGATTCAAATAATAATGCCGAGAGATTCCTCAAAGAAAACCAATGGTAAATTGCATACATGAATGAAGTAATTGGATATGTTAACTTGTTTTTTTTATAGGTATGATTCACGTGTGGTAGGAAGATATTGTGAGAAACGTGATCCTCACTTGGCGTGTGTAGCATACGAACGTGGTCAGTGTGATAGAGAACTGATTGCTGTATGTAATGAGAACTCTTTGTTCAAGTCTGAAGCTCGTTATTTGGTGCGCAGGCGTGATGGCGAATTGTGGGCTGAAGTACTTCAAGAGAGCAACCCATACAGACGTCAGTTAATTGATCAGGTTGTTCAGACTGCTCTGAGCGAAACTCAAGATCCTGAAGACATTTCTGTAACTGTTAAGGCATTCATGACAGCCGATCTACCTAATGAACTGATAGAATTGTTAGAAAAAATCGTTCTTGACACCTCTGTTTTCTCTGAACACAGAAATCTACAGAATCTTCTCATCCTTACTGGTATGTATCAATTGGTTTTCGAGGAAAAATAAATGATATGTTTAAAATTAGTTGAGAAATAGAATTTATCCTGTAAAAATTAATCAAACTATCATTATGATGATTAAACAAATCGAAATCTCAAAGAAATCTTCAATATTTGTTTCTTTTCTTTTTTGTTTCTTTACCAACAAATGTTATAAAAATTAGATCATTCAATAAATTGAAAAATAAAACAATCGTCAACTATCATACAATAAATGTCTCTTAATTTAATTTACTGATCTTGATCTCAGAAAGAAGATAATTCAACATTTTAAATTCAATTATTACTGTTATTTTAATATAAAAAAATGAATGAATGAATGATTTATTTGGTAGGAAGATCCTAATACACAAACATAATATACATAATATCTCATGTTATATAGACACATATAGTAAGGTTATAGCACATATATACATATAGGTACACATAAATACATAATATATACAGTCACTTACTATCTATTCTATTGTGATACCTTTCATATAATCGCATTAAAAAAAAGTATATCGAACATAAATATAATGTTTGTCATTAAAATTAAACAAAATAAAAAATACATTCTTGGACTGAAAACTAGTCTGAAATTTTTTGACATTGGATGCAAATTACTTTCTTGACATAATGTTCTGCACATACAATCAGTCAAATCTTTTTTGAATTATTTTTGGGAAGTTTGTTATATTCAATGAGGCCTTTATATAATAAAATTTTCATGGAGTTTGATAAACTACATTGTGGCAGGTGAAAATTGTCATTTTGTCTAGTAGTGTAATTGTGAGTGGAATTTCTATAAATGATAAATTCTTCGAAATAAGAAGGTAACATATGATTGGTTATCTTAAAAATAAATATCATTGCTGACCTGTAATACCTTTCACGAATAGACATCCACTGTAATGCACTGAGCATAAAGCATATACTTGCATAACGATGACATCCAAGAACCACCCTCACCCTCACCCAGCGACATAATTTTATTTTGGTCAAAACTGTATAACAGCGTACTTGCAATAATCAAAATGGGGCTGTATTATATACGGTTATTTTCGCATTTGTAGAAAGGTGTTTCGAAATTCTAGTGAAGAAATATAGCTTTTTGAAATCTTTTTAGTCATATAGTTATAGTGTGCACCAAAAGACATACTGTTGTCCAACATAAAACCTAAATATTTGAATTCTTTCACAAATTCAAGTTTCTGACCATCAGCATACAGGGAAAGAGTATTTATATTTATTTGTTTATATTTGTAAGAAAGAGGTTGTTAGAATCATAGCTTTCGTTTTTGAAGTATTTAATTTCATTTTATTTGCCGAAAAATAATTATCAATTTGATTTAGAGATGAGTTCATCTTTTCTATAGGTCTTTATGTGCTATAGATAGTAACGTGTCGTCAGCAAATAAGTTGATAAAGTCACTAGTGTGGTATGTGTTTATGTCATTTATGTAAATCTATATAAATACTCACAAATTATTTCACTTCGTGACTCTAAATAGTTTATTTTAAAATTTCATTTTTTGAAAGTTGTATTTTGAATTATAAGTAAACATTATCATTAATATTATGTGCTGCTTATAGGAATGAGAGGTGATATTTATTTTATTTTTTTCAGCTATCAAAGCCGATGCCACTAGGGTTATGGATTATATAAATCGTTTAGACAACTACGATGCTCCTGACATTGCGAACATCGCTATTAACAATCATTTGTACGAAGAGGCTTTTGCCATTTTCAGAAAGTTCGATGTGAACACCTCGGCTATTCAAGTTCTTATTGAACAAGTGAACAATTTGGATCGTGCATACGAGTTTGCAGGTAAGCAGTTTTAAATTACAAAAATACTTCGTGAGTGTTATAATAATATTTTTACCACAAGAAAGTGTTAATATAAATAAGATTACTTGTCATTTGCTCAATATAGTATTTTTACTAAGGTTTGGTTTGCTGAATGGCTTGGGGATGTGCGAGGGAATTTTCTAGAGTATTTTTTTCTTCAGACTCAGCCTGATGTGATTGATATTGAATCTGGGATCCCAAAGGAGTTCTAAATTTTTAAAAGGAACACTTGTTCGCTGAATCTGCAATATTATGGCATAGACTTTTCTCCTTTAGTTTTTTTTGTCTGAGGATACATAAAAGTAAAGTTTGTTTGACACATAGTACAGATATGGACACCATCTCAAACAGAAAATAAAACATGCATGCATTACATCCATCATGATAGAAAATTGCCACAGCTTAGGAACCTTGACTCGTACATAACAAAATTGAGCATTCAAGGTTAGGTTATTCGCTATGTCTCTGTTCTGTGAGTCATTTTGCATGAGAATGACCATTTCAAAAAATCTTCATCGTACAATGACATCAATTTTCATAACAGAGTGTCGTTCTCTATGAAAAGATGAAATTCTCTTCAAATAATATTACAGCTATTATATATTCGTTTTCAAGAATGTTTATCGGTTGAAGTCTATCTCTGAAATTGGTTTGACAACTGGTTGCTTTTTCAGAACGCTGTAATGAGCCTGCCGTTTGGAGTCAGTTGGCCAAGGCACAGCTCAATCAAGGCTTGGTCAAAGAAGCAATTGACTCTTACATCAAAGCCGATGATCCCTCTGCCTATATGGCAGTCGTCGAGACTGCCTCCCAAAACAACAGCTGGGAAGATTTAGTACGCTATTTACAAATGGCCAGAAAGAAGGCAAGAGAAAGCTACATTGAATCTGAGCTCATATATTCCTATGCCAAGACAGGTCGCCTAGCCGATCTAGAGGAATTCATCAGTGGTCCAAATCACGCTGACATACAGAAGATTGGAGATAGATGCTTTGATGACAAGATGTATGATGCTGCCAAGTTGCTTTACAACAATGTATCGAACTTTGCCAGACTAGCAATCACTTTGGTGCATCTCAAAGAGTTCCAAGGAGCAGTAGATAGCGCTCGTAAAGCTAATAGTACAAGAACATGGAAGGAGGTCTGTTTCGCTTGCGTAGATGCCGAAGAATTCAGATTGGCTCAGATGTGCGGAATGCATATCGTTGTTCATGCCGATGAGTTGCAAGATTTGATCAACTATTATCAGGACAGAGGTGAGGTGAATTGTTTTGGAATAGCTGTTGATTGAATCTGTTATTGTTTTTTTTATTTCTTGAAATAATGTTTCTATTCAGGATATTTCGAGGAGTTGATTGGATTGTTAGAAGCTGCCTTGGGACTAGAAAGGGCTCATATGGGCATGTTCACTGAGTTGGCTATATTATATTCGAAATATAAACCAGCCAAGATGCGGGAACATCTGGAATTATTCTGGTCGAGGGTTAATATTCCGAAAGTTCTTAGAGCTGCTGAACAGGTTAGTTTTTTCAAGTACTGAAACAGAGACATTTTTTATGCTTTGAAAACTGGCAAGTTTATTCTGTGATGAAAATTTATTGTATTGTATAAAATTGTTATTAACTTACTATTAGAGATGATAAAGACGAATTATTATTATCTAGTACCTTTCCCAAAATATTTTTTGACTGGTGTTCACTTTTCTGCTAATCTCTGAGTAAGGTGAAGTGGGGCAAGTGCATAAGTCCGCCGAAAAGTACCAACACCACTAGCATTAACGACTGATTTTTGAGGTCTTGTTAAAATTTAACTTTGCAAACCATACACTTCTCTTTTTATTTCTCTATCCTATGTTTTGTTTTACTCATTTTTTATTTAAATTCCCGACATGGGCGATGGTTAAAATAGTTGAAATGATCTGGATAAAAAGTGAAATATGACAAAAAGTGGGAATTTTTTTTGGGAAGTAGATTCTTTTCTTCTTTTTTTTTTAGTATAGAACGGTTAAAAAATTTGTCGCATTTCACTTATATTTTTAAAATAATAAAATATTTCAGATATCAGAAAATGCTTGTGAGAAAGATTTTACAAAGAGCTTCTTTGCTTTTATTTCTCCACTTTTATACAAAACGTGTGGGGAACTTTCGATGGAATGAAGAAAGCAATTGAGTACAAACTGAATAGTGATTTCAATTGAATTTAATGTTCAAATGAAAGTATTGGCTTCAAAAGTATTTTTACTTTATGTAATTCAATATTTATATGAAGGTAGTTGTTTTGAAGAGGCGTTTTCTTCCAATTTGTATCTGAAAGTAAAAGTTTATTTTGAATTTGATTGCATTCTTCATTCCTTTGAAAGTTTCCCAAATTTTTGATATAAGGATGGATAAAAAGCTAAAAATGTTTTTCCCAAAAATTAATGTCTTCTAAAAAATATACCCCTTTTAGTTTTAAACATTTTTGACTGTATATAAGTATACGGAATCATATAATAACGACTTGGGCACATGAAATTTAACTATCTTGACAATCGCCCATATTAATTGGTTTATTTACCAAAAATGATATCTTTCAATGCTAAATTTTTGTTGTTTTTTTAATAGGCACATTTGTGGGCCGAACTAGTATTTTTGTATGACAAATACGAAGAGTATGATAATGCTGTCCTGGCTATGATGGCGCATCCAACTGAGGCATGGCGTGAAGGTCATTTCAAGGATATCATTACAAAGGTGGCCAATATCGAGCTATACTATAAAGCAATTCAATTCTATCTAGATTACAAACCTTTGCTGTTGAATGATTTGTTGCTGGTTCTTGCTCCAAGGATGGATCACACTAGGTAATGTGAAAATGTATTTATCAAATGAACAAAATATATTGTTGAACAAAGATTATTGAAACATTTATTGATTACCGAAAGAATCGAGTTTGGATCATCATGAGATTCCTGCTCTTCAAATCATTAGAGAACATCAGAATTTATATGTTTCAAACGTCCTTGTATGAGAACTCGTTATTTGAACTGATTATTACTTTTATTTATTTTCAGGGCTGTTTCATTCTTTTCTAAAACAGGTCACTTACAACTTGTGAAATCATATTTGCGGTCAGTGCAGAATCTAAACAATAAAGCAATCAATGAAGCTCTCAATTCACTCCTTATAGAAGAAGAGGACTTCCAGGTATGTTTTGCTGTAGTTATTCAAAATTAACTAACATTTGCGAATGAAATTAAGTTCTGATAAAATAATTCATATCATCGTAATTCAGTTTATTACATTTGCATAATTATAAACTACCAACTCTTAGCAAACCATCTATTTTTTTGTTTGTATCATAATTCAGTCATATATAAGGAGTTTTTATTGAAGGCTGATCATAGTCATTTGTTTGAAACAATAGGGTTTGAGAACATCCATTGACGCTTTTGACAATTTCGACAACATTGGGTTGGCACAAAAGTTAGAGAAACATGAGTTGACGGAATTCAGACGGATCGCTGCTTATCTCTACAAGGGAAATAACAGGTGGAAGCAGAGTGTTGAATTGTGCAAAAAGGACAGACTTTTCAGGGATGCTATGGAGTATACTGCAGAATCGAGGAATCAGGAATTGGCCGAAGAATTGTTGGCCTGGTTTTTAGAAAGGAAGGCCTATGACTGTTTCTCAGCATGCTTATATCAGGTGAGACAAAAATAGCCCTAGGGTGGTTCTCTATGGCATACCAAAGTGCCTCTGCATAGTTTAATCCAATTATTGGAAATAGGTTATATATTTCTGATTCAATTTTGATATTTGCTTCCACAGTGCTACGATTTATTACGGCCTGATGTCATTCTCGAGCTTGCATGGAAACACAAAATAATGGATTTTGCCATGCCCTATCTTATTCAAGTAACAAGAGAGCTGACGACCAAAGTAGAGAAACTAGAACAATCTGAAGCAGAAAGACGGAACGAAGCTGCTGAAGAAACGAACAAACCCATGATGATACCCGAACCTCAGCTCATGCTAACTGCCGGTCCAGGAATGGGTAAGGAATATTTCTAATAATCAAAGAAGCAGTAAAATATCATGCTTTGTAATTTTTATCATGTTAACAATACAAAATTTAGTTGAAAGTTAATGAGAAAGTAAATATACGGGATGGGCCAATAAAAATATAATAAGGTTTCTTTCAATAATATTTATAGATGGATATTCAAATTCAAATTTTTTATTTGGTTCATAACAAAGCTACAGCTTTATAACATGTCACAAAATACCATCAAATTAACATATGCTAAAAGTAAAATATAAAATCTTCAGAAGATACAGTGCAATAAAATAATAATACAGTACATACATACATACAATCGTGAAAGGCATCTTTGCTCTATGGTCCCGGGAGTGAATGGAAAAAGTCATTAATACCATATAGGGGATTTTCCGTAAGTAATGTCTTTAAATGTTTTTTAAATTTACAGTTCAGAGAACGTACTGTAAGAGGTAGGGCATTGTACATTTGAATATCAATAGTATCGTCCATTCTTTGTAACTGGGTTTGAGGTAAAATCAAATTATCTTTATTTCTAGTATTGTGACCGTGTATATCGGACACAACAGAGTAACTATTAATGTTTTGTTTGACATATAGTTGTTGACCAAATTTCACTAATTATTGATCACTTTTTACCACTATAAACTTTACTTATTAAAGCGGAGATTGAGAACACTTGTACACGCTGTTGGGAGCAAACTATAGATAGAAATTTTATTATCTAAAGAACAGTAAAATTATTGCTGACAAAGTTATTTATTCATTCATTCATTTATTTACCATGTTGCCTAATTTTACAAACTAATCAACAAATCAACACCATGTACTATAACTATCAGCTAGATATAAGAAAAAAAACAAAGGCAAAAATAAGCCAATCAATTATAATCTTTTCAGTCTTTTTAAATGATTCCAAAGGAAAATTGAAAAGTTCTAAATCCACATTGTAAGTGTTAGCAAGTCTCAAAATTCTACCTATAGACTCATTATGGCCGTAGATAGTATGAAGAAAGGGTACTTTGAAGATTTCTGTATTTCTTTCTGGTTCTCTTTGGATTCACATTTAAAGTTTTAAGTTTAACACGTTCCGGGGAATTAATGCTACCATTGATTATTTTGTGAATTACCATAAGATCTGATTCTAATCTATACTTATATCTGCACTATTCTTCAAGTATATCAATCAATATCCACATTATATGAAGGGCACCAAATTGTGGAGTTGTATTCAATTATTGATCTAACAATTGAGTGATATATTATTTATAAGGAAGAGAGAAAGATAATTCCTCATCATGTTTCCAATTATTCTTATCTTTTCAGATAGTCCTAGAATATTATGTATAACATTGTGAATATTCATAGAATCTACAACAAATGCAAAAGAAACTTCACAGGCAGTTGAACAGCATTTGCAATATACATTTTTCATGTGGTTGTTGTATTGTTGAAACTTCAACACTATTAGAATTTCGTGAAAATGAATATCTAGATTACATCAGAAATAGACAATCAACAGGAACGAAGTTGTTGGATTACATTTTGAAATCAGACGATGCAAATCGAGTTGAATGGAACATGATGTAAATAATTGCCAGTGAAACAGACTTAAGCTTAAAGAATCAGAGTATAGTCTTGTATCTGCAAAGTTTACCTAAACAACTCCTTGGAAGTAGATCTTAATTGGCTAGCCATCTTGAAGAAAGATATGGATATGCAACAGACTACCTTGTACCTTGAATGTTTCAAAAGTAAATCAATAACATTGATATATTTTACATTTCGAAACTCCTTCGACATATGTCAAGATGTTTTGAAAATAAAATTAACCAATGAAAAAACTGCAAGTCAGATTTTTCAATTCTGAAAACGGCGACAGATTTAAGCCTCCGAAACATTAAGATGAATATTTGATAGGCAAAATTGTTAAATAACACAAGTTACTGATGAATAAGACATTTTTCATGTAGTAATTCATATAGGTGAACTAAAAAGTTTGCCCTTTCTACGCCTGTATAAAATTCTTCATTACAATTTTCATTTTCAGATTGTGCAAGATGAGAATCACTCCAAAAAAGACTGCTAAAAAACTTTGATCTGCTTTACAAAAATTAATTTTGCATTATTTTTTTAATATTTGCTTATTTCATTTAGCTTAAATACTCTTCGTTGACAGAAATCATTCATCTAACTGAATTCTATTCCTCAGGCATACCGCCTCAGCAATATGTGCCGCCCCAAGCGTATCCTCAACCTGGTTATGCTCCCCAAATGCCCTACCAAGGTTATCCTGGCATGTAATATAAGGCCCCACTCTTCAACCAAGTTTACAGAAGGGTCTGATCTGTAATTGTCCAGACAATTGATTTGGAGGAGATAGTGCTTCGGAACAATAGTGAAGGTCTTACTATTACGAATTAGATGTGTAAAATATTTCTAATAGAAAGGTGGATGTAAATTTGATCAAGTTAATAGGCTGGGAAGTAACAAAAGAATAATTTATACATTGATGTCAGTAGTAGACACATCTGGAAGTTTCAGCATGCTACTATAAAGTATGTCGTATCTAGATTTTTTTATCAATATGTTGATAATTGAGATTATTGAAAAAGTATTACATTTTAAATAGTGTTGGCACTAATTGGCAAAAATCATGTGAAGAGGAATTTACATTCATCTTTCGATCACTAGCAGAAGAGTTATATGTTTTGTGTTCTACACAAAATGCCTACAACTTATAGTTAAAAACAATAAATTCACCATCGTTGACCTAAATTTGCGGTTTTTTCTGGAAGTTTGCTTTCTTTTATCAAATAAATATTGATTTTTATGTTTTAGTTGAATCAAAACACATTTGTTGCATTAATTTCTAAGAATGTATATATACTATAACGTAAATGCACTTATACTAGTATGTATATAATCCAATTTGTTTTATCGTACTATTATCCCACTTTTGTTTTGTAGCCTTTTTATCATTCCTTATTTAAATATAGATATATGTATATGCCGAAAATGTTTATTAACTTATTACATTGAATATCGACAGTGCTTTGCCAATATCCATGTGTGATTTCTGAAATTGCTATTCAAATAAATTTTCTAAAAAAAAGGTGGATATTGGTGAATATATATGGAGAATATAACACTTTTTTTATTAGGCAATTATTAGTATTTTTCCTGTTAAAATATAAAGCTATGAGATATTTTGGGTTTTTTTATTTGCTTCCAATATCATGAACCTATCCTTATTATTTTGTTATGCAATATATTGAGGAGTAAACAGAATGTCACACATTTTATGAACAAGTATTTAAAGATATTTCTTACTGTTTTTTTTATATATTACCAAAAAACAGTAAGAAACATTGAGTCCTTCACTAAAAAATGTCTTTCAAAGATATTTTTTAAGAATTTACAAAAATGAAATGCAAGGAAAATGTCTATTTCAAAAGCAACTTATCCTTTGGCGCACTATTCAATGTAAATGTTTGAGTTTATCAATTCAAAGACATGCTATTAAAATTGATTAATTATTTGTAATAATCATAAGTTTCTTCATAGTAGGTTGATATGTTTCAACTGATTTTCAAAAGAGTACATGGATGAATTTAATAAATCAATACCATATCTAGTAACATGGCAAGGAACTCCGGTTCTACTTGCGATAAATCTGGAGTCTCGAGTCAATTTTGAATTGTTGGTGCTCCAAAGTAGATAAGTTCAAAAGTAAAGGAATATCAGGATACTCCAAGCTTAAATGCACATCGTGGGGTGAATACTGCAACTAGGTAACTACAAATCAGCTGTTTCGGGGAAAACTCAAATTCATGTTTTTTTTACGATTTTGGTAGAATATGAAGGCTTCATTAAATGTTATTTTACTACCATTTTTAAATTTTAATGTTAATTTAGATACATAATATTCAAATATAATAATTTATAAAAATTTTTTTTGTGATAACAAATTTGATAAAAACAAACAAATCAATATGTTGTTTTAAAAACCACCTTCATACCTAGTTACTTGAAAATCTTTCTAAAGTTCTTCGTGTATTGGTGGTATGGAACTGAGATAAATTTATCTTGGTGTTCGTCGTTTTTAAAATTCCAGATTTCGTTCATTCTTAACCTAAACTTTTTCTTCCTAATTATAACATCTAAAATAAAACAAGTCATACACTACATACAGAATTTATGAAATTAAATGTAAGGATTCAATGCAAAATATGGACAGACAAAAAGATCTATTAAAATACGATATAAGGAACACTTAGCACACTTGAAATATGGAAGACCTGAAAAATCAGCAGTCGCTCATCATATTTTGTAACAAAACCATTTCATAGACTTTAGTTCATTAAGATTAGTTAGACAAGTTAACAACAACAGGCATCTAGATGCCTATGAGAGTGTAGAAATGAGTAAACCTAATAGCAATGCTAATAGTATACTCTATAGCTTGTTAAAATAATATTTTAATTATCAGATTTATCTGACTATTACATAAGGACCCATAAAATAATGATCCAGCAGACTCATTGACCTGTAATTTTGGGGCTAAGCGAGGGTATTGACCCATCTTCGGTATCATTATAATCTCAACATGCTTCCACCGCTTAGGGAAGTATCTGGGACTCAACAAACCGTTGAAAATGTTCGTGAGTGACATTACTTGGTTTTCAGAGAGCTTTTTTAATATTCTATCCGGCATTGAGACGGCACCTGAAGCTTTATAAGCTTTGATATCTAGTATGACCCCGTTCAGTTCTTTAGCTGAGGCGGGTCGGATGACGTCCTCGTCTTCGAATAGGAGTGTTTCTTCCACTTCTTCCTCGATTCTTGTATCTCTATCGATATCGTCATTAGGGTCTGCGTTCAGCCTGAATTGGCTTTCCATAGAATCCACTGTAGCCTTGCCATTTGTTGAGAAACAGACTCCCTTTGCCTTATGTATGTGTACTATAGCATCTCTTTTATTCTTTCCACTTTTGACTAATCGCCAAAGTGATCCATCCCTGGATGGATATTCCTGCCAACTCTCGTTTTTAAAGTAATTGATAACTTACTTTGCTTAATTGCCTTTAGCATTCGCTCTGGCTCTGTCCTTCGAAACATAGTCCTATATTATAGGTTCTCCTTAGACGGTTTTTTTCTCTAATCATTCGATGAAGATACCGAGACGGCACTGAATGTGTTTCTAATGTGCATCTAATGTTGCAGTGGTTTCAGGGGTGTTAGAATGATGGGGTTTCTTCCAGTCGAGCCTTGAAGGCCTCCCAGTCTGTCTTGAATTTTTTATTTTGGTTTTGTATTAGAGAACCTTCCCTCTGGATCAGCATCACTCGGTTGTGGTTCAGGCCTAGCTGAGAGGTCACATATATATCTCAGGACAGCGTTAATTTCCTGACAACTGCGATGTCAGGAACATCGGGTCAGTGACGTAACTGGTAATGGGTAGGTGCATAGAGTGCTCTACCGGTAATGTAACTGACCCTGCTCCACTGCACGTGTTTTACATTGAAATCACCTGCTGCATCGTCGAGGTGTCTGTTTCAAGCAAGAGAGCACTCAGTGTATCCGGTAGTAGGTAGTTTTGAGCGATACGACAAGGTATGCTATTTTTATATCGAGAACAGAAGATTCAAAAGTGATTTTCAAATACACTAACAAGATACAGATCACCAAATAGGATCGATTAATCCTATTTAATAAACTACCAAATAGCTAATTTGAAATCAAGCTTAACACTGAAAGTGTTGAAAATAAAATTGAGACGAATCTCCTGGTACAAGTGTTGGTTTGAAATGCAGTATTTAAAAGAGTGAGTCATTACTTCACAATACAGGAAATTATCTACATGGAATTTTAATAGATTCAAAAATGAATAATCAATGAACTTTTTTTAGTTCCAACTTCCAAAATTTTGAAAGTGATTGTTTTGATTGATTACCCAGAAAAATAAAAAAACGAATATTTTTATTGATATCTTTTTTGAATAATTTGTCTTGATTTTGGTAAATGACATGCTGAAACGTTATGTAGCTTATCATCTACACCTTCCCGTGCAATTTTTCTAGCCAGTTTTTTCTTTACATATTCTTTAGTGTATGGCGTTTGTAGGATATCTATAACATCATTAACTAGTTCATGTTCCACACATCTGAAAGAGAAAAGATAAAAAATTTCGATAAATCATTTTCTTTAAAATTTTTCCAAAAAATGAATTGGTGGATTTCATTTAACAAAACTTACAGAGGACACGGATTGGTGTTTACAATCCGTTCAATAGGTTCAATGGAAGGAGATGTCTTCACATCTTGGATAGTCATTTGATCCGATCTCATCTTTTTCTTGTGCACCTGCGAGTCCAAAATAAAAGAATCAACAAATTTAGTTTCTGTATGATTTGATTTCTGTCGATAAAATGGATTGGAATCCATTCATTAAATAAAATTCGGTGTTTTACTGAATATTTTGGTTACTGCTTCAAAGATAGCATTTACATAATAACATTCAAGCTTTTCATGGCTGTTGTCAAAGTTTTCTGTACCTACTATAACTAATATAGACCTATAGTTTGTCACCAAACTGAATTTTCAAATCCTCTGGGAGTATGTAAAACTAACTATTATATAAATTAAAACATATCAAAGTGATGTTTTATTTTATATTATTTTATTGATTCCATTATTATTATCTAAGAAGTTTGATATTTTTTATGCAAGATCAGAATATTGATGATATTATCTGAATGATAATTTTAAATTTTAGAAAATTTCAATTTCTCTCATTTTTTCATAACCAGTTTCAAAGGAAATAATTCTCTCGTCTATTGTATTTAGAAGTGTCCATTTTGTGTGATTAACTCAGTTCGACTTTATTATATATATGAAAACTTACAACATCCTACCAACAAATGTGGTTTGTAAAAAAACAAGGAGTACCATCATAACTATAACAATAGTAAAAAGCAGTGAATAGAAAAAATATCAGTACAAAATATAATGTAATGAATCTGAAGTCGGCCCTGACCGATATCTCAGCGACCAAACATATGACTCATCGCGAAAAGAATGCGGTCGACAAACCGCAACGACAATTCTAGATGAGTGCCGAAATGACGAGAGAGATCTGCAGTGATCGTTGCCGCTATATAAAGCCGGCCTCCCGTCCCTAGAGGGAGAATCGCCGTCAGGCGGCTCCGGCAAGTATAGCATTTTAAATGTACTAACCATATATTCTCTTTCAGGAAAACCGCGATTCAATTTCAAAATCACATTTCTCAGCTTCACTGGGAAACGCCCGTCTATCATAACTCTGGCCGCCGTTAGTTTTGGGGCCCCCATGCAAAAATTCAATTAGGAATACTGCGACAAACAAGAGCCAAATAAAATTTAAAACGAGAAGTTAGATAGGGAAATAAAAGCACCTAAAGGCTGGTTTCCAACCATAATAGGTTAGATATCAATCTTGCTGAAGTGCCAGCAGCTGGATTGAGGACCGTTTCCTTAAGAAACGGGGGTGGAAGGAAAGGGTCGTCAGGTCCAAACCTGCGGAAGCGATTCCGTAAGGAGGGAGCTTGCGACCTGGGCACACAACCCGGAAGGGGCATGGGGGGCCTAGAGGGAGTCAGTCTGTACCGAGAAAGTGAATCGTTCGAACTGTAAAGATAAATTAAGCGTTAGTTGCTAAGTGGTGTATATAAATTAGTTGTGATAGTGAAGTATTGTTAAAATAAATTTGTTTAAGACAGTTAATTCTAAAATTCTTTACAATAACAATAATAAGGGAGACATATTCCAGACGAGATTGGACATATGCATTAAAAAGTGTTATGAAACATTCTTGGTTTTGAAAGTTTCTACACGTCCTGAAGATAAAGCCAAGCATTTTTTTGCAGAAGATGTGATTTGATTAATTTGTGACGTGAATATCTGAGCTTTGTTCTAATATGACGTCATTTATTGCATAGTCAAACTGTATATTGTTGTGCTTGAGGGTGTATTTCATAAATTTACATTTTTTAATATTCAGTGGAAGCTTGTTTAGTATGCACCATTCATGTATCGAATTAACTTCCTTCTGCAGAATAAGACAGTCCTTGGTTGATTCAATGGGTCTGAAAATCTTCAATTCATCAGCAAAGAGTAATATGTTACTAGTGATATTTGAAACAATATCATTTATAAACGAAGAAAATAGAAAAGGAGCTAGATAACATCCTTGAGGAGCACCACTAGTTGAAGTGAATTCTGTTGATTTGTGTCCTTTGTATTCTACAAATAGCGTACGATTCTGAAGATAAGACTGTAGTTAATTAATTCGATTTTACTTTTTTATGAACTGAAAAGTCCTATAATATTCTATTTTATTCATTCATATAGGTTTCAGATCTCTCAATATTTATAAATGAGATTTCGTAGCATTCATCAAGAATATTATTCTACATATTCAAACTGGAAATAAGTTATTTCAAATGAAGCAATTAATATTGACAAAGTGGTAGGTACTCAAACAACTTACCAAATGTTTCTCTTTATAGTAAACAGTAACGAGAACTTCTTGAATATTTTTCTCTAATATCTCTAGGTATAAAGTAACGTTATGATAAGTAATAGTTTCATTGTGTCCTGAAATATGATACGATTAGTAACAGACAAAATAAAAATTGATGGATGTAGCCGTTACTACGTGGTAGGAGATCATCATGAAAAATGAGAATAAAAAACATACTATGTTTTTATACCACTTTGTATTTGTAAGTAAGGTTACTGCAGTTTCGTCCTTCGAAGACATTTTCAAAGGAATACAACTGAAATAATTAACAATGTACCTACATCCTTATCTATACAATCACTGTTGGTAATAACAGATAGTCTTTAATGACTTTATTACCTGTATTTTGTTTAAGTGTGACAATAAGAAACAAAAACAGTTTAGGTACATTTTAATAATAGATACAGCAATTGCATTGAAGCAGACAGATAATGAAGATATAGGGGACAATGAAGTCATTTAGAACCATCCATTTGCATCATCAAACCATAGAGAAACAAGTACAATACAACCTATACAACAAAAAATAAGAGAAAACGATCTTGTTCTTACAAAAGCTGATAAATCGAATGTTATCCTTATACTTGAACGAGAAGCATATATTCAGAAAATTGGATCAGTCATTCGTAGATGACCCATCGAGAAATGAATGAAAAATTTCCTTTCAGATACTGAACTTATTTTCACTGAATCAAAAAATCACGAACATGAACCCCTCTTGCTCTGAACTATATGGCCTAATAAAAACTCATAAACAAGATAACCCCATAAGACCGGTAGTTTCGTGAACAGTCCGGTAAATGAACTAGGAATAAGGCTTACAAGCTGTTCAAAAATATTACCAGTTTCGTCCCACCTCACATAATTCAATTTTAGTTTCATTCGATGCAAAGAGTAGGTAAGTATATGTCTCTAACATAGGTACATTACAACGAATGTTAGTCACTTATTTTGAATATATTGGATGGAGCCAAAGTAGACTACTTCCTATTTCTAAATCGAAATAACTTAAGTAAGTAATTTCGATTTAGGCATAAATCGAAAATTTTATAAAGAGGATTCAGGTTTACCAATGGGTTTACTCACCTCTTAGTCCACTTTTAGCAGACATGCTGGTTATGAACAGTTTGGAAAACACTATACTAAATTCCGACCTGGTACAGATATGTAGACGACATTATTGCCTACTTCAGAGGTACTACACGACAACTGAACCAATTTTTTGACATTCATGAATAATCTTAATAGAAACATAAAGTTTACAATCGAAACAGAGATAGAGAAACAGATTAATTTCTTAGACTTGACCATCATACATAGTCATAATAAATTTGTGTTCGATGTACTCAGAAAACCGAGTTATACAAATATTACAATCCGAAGTGATTCTTTCCATCCCGACAGTCATAAATTAGCAGCTTACCATTCAATATTACACAGATCATTCTCTTTACGTTTGTATGCTAACAATCTAGATAGGAAAATTAAAATAATGAAACAGATAGGACAAAAGAATGGTTTCAAGGCAAAGACAATCCAGAAGTTACTCAGAAAACAAAGCCTCAAATTTACGTACCGATTAATAGTATACCCCCAGATCAAACAATCAGAAATAAAAAAATTATAACTTTACCATATTTTGGTTCAAATACAAAGCGGTATAAACACAAAGGAAGTTTTCTTATTTTTCAATAGACAAAGCTATCTTCAGTTCTGAATTCTTTTGTGAATGATTTTATGCAGTGAATGATAATATTTTTGCTCTTTTTTAATCAATTTGATACACTCACCAAGAAGTTGTATAAGAGGGTCATTCTTGCACCTGAACATCTTAAAAAGAGTTCCAATGCCCTTTATTATTTCGTTGAGTTTATGTTCCACTTGTTTCAATTCCTCGGCTTTTTTGTTGGTTTTTTCTTCAATACTCGCAAATTTGTTTCTCAAAGTCACAATTTTATCTTCTTGTTGCACCCGCCTCATTTCATGTAAGGCATTCTGCTCATCTGAAGGTATAAATATTAATATATGTTTTGTATGAAATTTTAGATACCCATGCAGTGAACTGGTTTTTAATGTTTTTCAATGTACAGGGTATCCAGTAGAAGCGTCGTGTACCATATCAAAGTAGGGTTTTTTAAAAGAAATAAGATTTGTTTTCCATATTCCATCATAAAAGTACGGTATGCACAAAAATACTGTCAAAAAGTGGATCTATTCAACCGTTGAAGAGTCTCTTTTGCTATAAAGAAGTTTCTAATATTGGGTGATTTGAAACTCGAAAACGATGTTTTCTCGATTTAATTCTTTCAAAAGAAATACCCGATATTTTTTCACGATGTGATTTTTCCTTAAAGATATCTTTTTAAAAATATGAAAGATGGAAAAATGTTATATTATTTATTCGATGGTGAAAAATACTTTTTATAACATATTCATAACAAAACGGACTATTCAATTGAATAGATCAACGTTATTTTTGACATCACTTTCGATCTGGTCGTAAGAACTTTTCTGAATGAATTCGGATATGGAGTATTGCACTTGAAAAAAATAACTTTATACAATACGCTTCGACTGGGTACCCTGAATTTTGGAGAGTATTCCAAAAAGCCCAATTAATATCTAAAACTTGTATACGATTTTTTTTTATTAAGTTTACTCTTTCATCTGAAATTTCTAATGAGAGTTAGGTGTGACACACACCTTTTTTTTTAGAATAGAGCAAACATTGAAGAATAAAATACGAAATGGTGCCATTGTCTAAGTAATGCCGAATTACTTTCGTTGATAGTCGGGTTACTGATGTTTAATACTGAAAACTGATAGATTAAATGTCTATAACACATTGCACCTATCACTTTCAATCCAGCAAATGTGTTTTCGTACCAATTTGGAACTGCAATTTTCCCAAATTATCGGTTAGTTCTTCCATCTCCTTATTCAAGTGATTGACATATTTGAACATACCGAAATTCTCTTCTTCTTGATCTAGGAATTTTTTTGCTACAGTTTGTACCCGTTCTTCTCCTGTGAATTCCTAAATTCAAAATGTAAGGATTCAAATCAACTTTCAATTCTTTGTTGTTTATTTGGGCAAATGGAGTTAAATAATATTTTTCACAAACGCATGGTTTGATAGCTGTTAATAGAAAAAATTTAATGACAAACAGTTTGGTGAACCAAAAAAATCGCTCATTGGGTACATGTATTTAAAAGAATACGACTGAATTTAACCCACGTATATCGTAAGTTCGTAAGATGAACAACAACCAGATCTATATGTCGACTGCTTAAAGCAACAAATGTGACTTAACCCCTTTTGTGCAAACAGCAAAGAATTTTAAACCTGCGATTGTTTTGGGGGCGAAACTTTCAAACCTTTATGGACAGCATTATTTGAAGATATCTTTCCAGGCGTTTTTCCATCTGGCCCTTGAACATCTGACGTTTCATCATTTGTTTCTTCTCCAGATCTTTCATCACTCGCTTTTGTCCTTTTACCGCAAAAAACTCTTGCAATTTAGCATAGTTATCTTTTTTTCTATGCAGCACTCTCATTTCCTGAAACAAAAGTTATTAATTTGAATTAATACCTCATGACCGCATAGAAGAATCAGTATTAGGTGTAAGATATTAAGTTTCATGGCATTCTTATTGATAATTGTTAATGTTTTCTTCCTGAATGTATCTTACTTGCACATGAGTAATCAAATCGTTATGGGCTTTTATTCTTAAAAACTGCAATTTTGACACCCATTCTTCCCGTTGATCATATGCTATTGTAGCTTGTTCGATCAAGTCTAGCATGAATTTTTTTCCTACGCACAAGTTGTTTATCAAGGTGTCCCAAATCTTATTAAACTCATTCCTGAAAATGATAAGAAATTCAAACATATTCTTTTTTACTTATAACAGGAAACTAAAATCACCACCGCCGTTTCAGTACGGTGCAAAAAGTGATTGAATAAATACTACAAAATAATCTATTTGGTATTCACAGAAGCATGAACATGTTTATAGCGTTTTGATCGAATTTACATAGACGTCCAGGCTTAAAAACTTGGCATAATTAAAAATCTTAATGTTGAAGTATCTATAGATACTTCATTTTGATAAACACTGGTCGATAAATTATCATTTATCGTAATGACACCTCATAATCATAACGTTTTGTTTAATTTACCTTGATGCCCAACTAAGTTGGGCTCAAAAAATTGGTTAAAGACTCATTTTATGTTGTTCCTCTCCACGGAAATCTTTAGTAAAAGGCGAAAGATTTATTCGCACTGAAGAGAAACCAGAGTGCCGGTGTATAATGTTTTGAAAGTAATTGTTGTGTTTCCCTACACCTATTATAGTAAGCTGCGAGTGGTGCGCTCTAGTAGATACTAGACAAACTATTGAAGCAGTAGTTTTATTGACCACTCAAATATTTTGGGAATGTTTTGAGCATTGTGTAAGTAGACAATGCCCTTACTTCTCTTAAAACCATTGTCTACCATTGTCTTAGACAATGATATAAAGATACTATGTTATGCTTCAGACAACAGGCGTAGTCGTTTGAACGTTTAAAGACCATTACATTTCATGGGATGCCTATAAGTTAACATCCTTTACAAAATTAAAATACCAAAAATTAAAAATATACGAAATCATAAAGCTTGCGAATCAAATAGCTAACTTATAGAAATGGTTGTTATATAAACAAATAGTAAAAAAATTGTGTTTTCATAAATTACGGCAGCATAGGTATAATACATTACAACAACATATCTACTCAGATTAAAACACGTGGAATTGTAACAGAATCATAACATCATCAATAAAAATCAATATTGATTTTTTAAACAAATAGAGTTAAAAATTATGGAAAATTATGGAAAAATAAGAATACGAATAAATTTGAATATTAATTTTTTTTTTCATTGTTTTCATTGAATTTTTCATTTTTTAATGTCTTTGGATTATTAATAACCAAGGGGAAAATCAAATTTTTTAAATTTTTCCAACGGGAATCTTTTTTGAAGACTTTTAAGAAAAGCTCCAAGAAGTGAAAACAATTTGAGGTTTTTAGTTTAAAAATTATCAGGGTTTTCATGTAAATTTAAAACTTGTAAAAATTAGTTAATTAACTAAAGTATATCTTGTGATGATTTTAAACAGACAGAACAGATGCACTGTTTGGAACCTTTGATGTAGTAATGAAGATTACTGGAGTTTTTCCCAACACCAAACCGTTATTTTAACACCTTGACACGTGTTTCGATCACTAAGTGATCATCTTCAATACGAAGATCAAACTGTTTGATCACTAAATGATCCAAAAGCGACTTATTAAATTAAGATGACACAAAAATTCAAATTATCTTCTGATTTTGGCAGATACAAATCAGTATCAGCAAAAATATTTTGGCAGATACAAATCAGTATCAGCAAAAATATTCATTTGGTTATGATGATTATAATTTCTCAATGTAAGTTATCTACGCTATAACAATTAAGTTAAAAGCAAATAGAGTAACTTTCTTCGAGTCATCTACGAGATGATGATAAAAAACCTTTTTGTGATAGACAGATGAGGTATTTGAATCATTTATATTAAATTGTGAGCAGATTTTATTTTTTGCTCCCTGCTCAGTGGCAAACTTTCGTAATGTTTTATGATTATATATTTTTGTATTTAAGATGATGCAGAACTTTTTTTCTAAAAGAAAATATCTGTGAAGAATGAAGTATAGACTTTGATACTCGCTATACATATACAGGGTGGGCCATCGAAAACCTGACATAGATATTTTTGGGTACCTACTAATCTTGCAAATTCGAGAAAATGCTCAGACAGGTCGATTTTTATTGGTAGGGGAACCGTTTTTTTCCCCATTTACAGAGTCGTCACTTCAACCCCGGTGCAGAGGGGTGAATAACCCTTGGAATTTTAATAGGGAATAGGGGGAGAATCGCACATCGTTTAGCACAGTTAATCGCCATAATTGTCGCTATTGGGCTGATTCAAATCCTCACATTTTTCATGAAGTGCATACTCAACGTCCACAAAAATTAAATGTATGGGCTAGAATTTTTGGTGAGCGTATGGTTGGCCCATTGTTTTTAGAAGGCAATTTAACCGGACAGATTATCGGGAGGATCTGTTAATATTTCAACAAGATGAGGCTCCTTCGCAATATGCTCTGATGCCTGTTCGGCAGTACTCAGATCAGACTTTTCCGGATCACTGGATTGGGAGGCGGGGCACTATCGAATGTCCACCACGATCACCAGACCTTTCGCCGTTAGATTTCTTTCTGTGGGGTCATTTGAAAAGCAGAATTCACTGTACTCCTCCTGCATCACTCGGAAGATTTACGGCAACGAATCACAAATGAATGTCGCCAAATCACTCCAGAAATGCTCCACAATGTTCGAGAATGTTTCCAGCAGAATCTCTATTATTGCATAGAAGCTGGAGGTGCCCATTTTGAGCATATGCTAACATAAGAATATATTAAGTAACTTCAACTCTAAATTTAATATGGTTCGTCCAAATAAAAAAAAATGTACACCGTTGTTTAGAGAATTCCAAGATCTTTCAAATGATGTGCGACTCGCCCCCAGTTCCTTATTAAAATTCCAAAGGTAGTTTACCCATCTGCTCCGGGGTTGAAGTGACGACGCTGTAAATGGAAATAAACTGTTCCTCTCCCAATGAAAATCGACCTTTCTGAGCGTTTTTCAGGATTTGCAAATTAGTACCCAAAACCTCCATGTCAAGTTTTCGATGGCCCACCCCGTATGCGAACCGCGTGATCACCTACCTTTCAATTAATAAATGGTTGATCATCTGTCTGAGTTTAATATTTTCTGAAGAAATAGCACAAAACTTTCTTATCTGAACTTCCAGTTTGTTTTCCAATGTTTGCACGGTTTTTTCACCTGCCAATACTCTTTGTTGATATTTCTCATCAGTTATCTGCTTCGATCCCAAATCCAGGACCTTGAACAAATGATTCAATTATAAAAATTTCCATTGATCTGTTTAAAAAAAGACTAATGAGGTCTTACCTTTCAGCGTGTGATTCCTAGCTTCATAATTGAAATTAAATTATTTAGTACCTACTGAAAAATCTCACCTTTTTCTTGACTATTTTTATCTGTCCATCGATTTCGTTCAAATAAGATTTTTGGATTCGTATTTCTTCATCAAAGTCGTCATATTCTTTGAGTAAATTTGAGAGTTCATTAGATCTTTTCTCATCTTCTTTTTTTCTAGCCGGGGCGGATGCAACAGCTAAGTCTGTCAATATATTTTTTTGTTCCTTCTTAAATATATTTAAAACACGCTCTTGCTTTGCTAGCTTTCCTCCAGTATCTCCGAATTGTGCTCGATTCCGATCTAATATGGTGAACTGAAAAATCCGCACAAAATTACATAGTGTAGAAAACTTTTGAAAAAATGATTCTTACTGTCCTTGCCAAACGTCCAAGTTCTTGCTCAGCTTGTAATTGCAGTTCAAATTTCTCATCTTCGGTGAGATCATTCTTTTCCGACGACGCCATTTTTCCAATTTTGAAAATTTGACATTGTCATAATACATACTTTCAAGTTCAAATTCTCCAGATCCGGCATTTAAATTTGGAAAAATAAATTTTTATTCGTTACCATTACCAGTGGCGAATACGAAATTTTTTCAATTATAAAATTAGTTTAAAACCCTCTATTTAGTAACCTGTTTTTCAAAACTTTTTCCGGGGAGTACCTATGGACCGCCCCGAACAAAATTCCTGGCTAAACGCTACTGGTCATTGGGAAACTACTATGGGAAACAAAAAAGGTCATGAAGAAATAAGCAATATTAAAAAAAAACATAGCTTCAAGCATGTAAAAAATATTCAATTCTTTTTCGACTCCCATACAAGGAGTTGAATCCATTATGATTTATAATGGACTGTCATAAATCCTTATTCCATTGTAAATAGGTACCAATATCTTTTCAAGAACTCAGTTTTTAATGCACCTGAACTAAAGTCTGAGTGAATAACATTATGTATAAAAGTAAATTTAAAAAACATTTTGAATAAGATGCATTTCTAATAAATTTCTTGGAGTATCGTATTTTTTATGGGTCAGTGGATATATAACATTTCATATCTTAGAGGTCTTCATGTACTCATGTTAAAAAGAACTTATATATTTTGATGAACAATATTCCCAGTCATTATTGTGTCACAGAATGCTTTGAGCTGTGACCGTGTCGTATGTCGGTGACCACAGTATGCTTTTATTTTGCGACTACAATTTCTGTTTGGATTTACTAAAATGCTCAACTAAGTTGAGCTCAAAAAATTGGTTACAGACTCATTTATGTTGTTCCTCTCCACGGAAATCTTTAGTGAATACCGAAATATTTATTCGCACTGAAGAGAAACCCGAGTACCTACCGATGAAGCTGATTTTGAAACTACTTGTTATGTTTCCCTACACCTATTATAGTGAGCTGCGAGTGTTTACTTTTCTATACGGTGTACATGCAAAGTTGAATTATATGTGGCCTAAAAATATTACTTTAATTGATAAATGTATAATAATGTAGTATACCCTTATCTACGTATTAATTTATACTTTGTATTTGGCAGTCCGAGGTTCGACCTATCGCGGGTCCGCAAACGGATCGCGATCCGTCTGTTGCTTGCCGACCGTTGCTAAATTATAGCGTAACCAGAGTACGCTTTATTTTGCGACTACAATTTCTATTTGAGCTCAACCAAGTTGAGCTCAAAAAATTGGTTAAGACTCATTTACGTTGTTTCTCCCCATGGAAATCTTTAGTAAAAGGCGAAAGATTTATTCGCACTGAAGAGAAACCAGAGTGCCGATGACGAAATCCATCTTGATTTTGTTCAGGTTGAAAATCTCTTCCCGTACCCTTTCGACTGTCTCTCGCCAGGAGGACGAGTGGTTCATAACTTAGAGTGTTTTTTGGTAACGGCATAAAGGTCAATGACATCTATGCCGCTCTGGCCTTGTGTACCCCTTCCTGACTGGGGTATTGATGAACAAACTGTTCATTTTAACAGACGTCGTGGGGCCTTCACTCAACCGAGCGACGGGGCCTTCTGAATCGAGTGGGGTCGTCTATAGTGTAATCTACAGCTTCCCTAACTAATGGGTTATCATGAGTTTTCGCTGACTCGAAAACTCTCTGATTCCTCAACTGAATGGACTGCTGTATGGTTAACAGCTTCAAATCTTTGCGGATTCATTCCGCACGAACCATGGAGCATTCACCAGCATCCTAAAAAGTTTGTTTTGCAATCTCTCCAGAATGGAGAGATTTGTCGAAGCGGTTTGTCTCCAAGCGCCTGAAGCATACATAATGACAGGCTTGAACATCGTGTTGTATATTAAAATCTTGTTCTTAAGATTGAGTTTAGACTTTCGATTTATCAGAGGATAGAGTTTGGCTATCCTCATTTGTACTATGTCTTTGATGTACTCAACGTGATTTACCCAGGTGAGTCGGCGGTCTACCCAAAGACCTAGGTATTTGACTCGCGTTTGCCATTCGATCTCCCTGCCTGAGATCGTGACTCTTGTGTCTGGAGAAACGTTGCGCCTCTCCAAATGTGCCTGGGTTTTTTCTGGGTTCACCCGAATCTTCCACTGTAGGTACCAGCGTTCGAGGTCGTCCAATGCGCGTTGCATGTAGACGACCGCCAACCCCCCGTCCCAGTATTAGGTGTAAGATATTAAGTTTCATGGCATTCTTATTGATAATTGTTAATGTTTTCTTCCTGAATGTATTTTACTTGCACATGAGTAATCAAATCGTTATGGGCTTTTATTCTTAAAAACTGCAATTTTGACACCCATTCTTCCCGTTGATCATATGCTATTGTAGCTTGTTCGATCAAGTCTAGCATGAATTTTTTTCCTACGCACAAGTTGTTTATCAAGGTGTCCCAAATCTTATTAAACTCATTCCTGAAAATAATAAGAAATTCAAACATATTCTTTTTTACTTATAACAGGAAATCTTATTAAACTCATTCCTGAAAATAATAAGAAATTCAAACATATTCTTTTTTACTTATAACAGGAAACTAAAATCACCACCGTTTCAGTACGGTGCAAAAAGTGATTGAATAATTACTACAAAATAATCTATTTGGTATTTACAGAAGCATGAACATGTTTTTAGCGTTATGATCGAAAAATGGGCATAGATACTTCATTTTGATAAACACTGGACTCGATTAGTTATCATTTATCATAATCAAACCTCATAATCATATCGTTTTGTTTGATTTACCTTGATGCCCAACTAAGTTGGGCTCAAAAAATTGGTTAAAGACTCATTTATGTTGTTCCTCTCCACGGAAATCTTTAGTAAAAGGCGAAAGATTTATTCGCACTGAAGAGAAACCAGAGTGCCGATAAATATTGTTTTGAAAGTATTTGTTGTGTTTCCCTACACCTATTATAGTAAGCTGCGAGTGGTGCGCTCTAGTAGATACTAGACAAACTATTGAATCAGTAGTTTCATTGACCACTCTAACACAGTAGTTTACTGTGACTCAAAATGACTCAAACATGTGACACACTCACTTTTCTTCAAACAACGGATACATTGTCTATAGATTTTTAGACAATGACGGAGACAATGGTAAAATATTTTAATATAGGTAGGTTGCGAAAATAAAACAATCATTTTCGGGTAGAAGTAAAAGAGCTTGAGAAATCTCCACCCAATTTTTTTCCGTCGACAATTGTGGTTACTTGATAAGTGGAATAACACCAGAATTAAAGCAATGTTTCTCGATGCGCGTTTCGGTAACCAGATTAGCATCATCAGGAGATGATATATATAATCTCAATTCTGGTGTGAGAAAAGTATTTTCATTAGATTTTTCGGAGTTATGCAAATGGTAATTCAGTATTTTGATTATCTTTTCAACAGGACCATATATAAAATGCTATTTTTCATATTTTCGCAATTCGCCTTGGAGATAAATCAGATTCGTGAGATATCCATCATCAAGAAAAAAATAGTGTTTAACTTTTACTCAAAGACGAGGGTGTACGGTGTACTCAGGATTTGTTTTTTCGAGAGGGATTGACAATGAACCTTTCAATGATATACAAAAATATAAATAGAGGTAACTACAATAATGAAAATCCTCATGTCCATGAAATCATAAACTACCTATATTAAATTGATGTATGTAGCCGTTACTACCTGGTAGGAGATCATAATGAAAAGAGAAATGAAAATGTCTATGTTTTTACCACTTTTATTTGTAACTAACGTTACTGCAGTTTCGTCCTATATGGACATTCTCAAACTTATACAATAAACTTACAAATAAAAGTGGTAAAGAACATATAGAAATTTTCATTTCTCTTTTAACTACCTATATTTATTATATTTCTAATAATTATACTGACATTTGCAAAGCGTTATCTATAAATTAAGTTTACTCATATTAAATACTTGAAGAAAGTGATGAAAACTGTTTTTTGTCAAGAAAAAAGTCACCAGGGACATAAGCGTGCCATTTGAGTCGATTTATACATATGATAGTGCCTAACTATATCACTGAATGATCAAGTGACATATTCAATTATTAAAAAAAAAACACAAAAATTCAAATTATTTTCTAATTTTGGCAAATTTTCATCATTACAAATCAGTATATGAGCAAATTCATTTTTTTTGGTTACAATGGTTTGAATTTCTCTAGGTAAGTTATCTTACGTTATGATAGTAAAGTTATAAGCAAACTGAATCACTTTTTCAGAGTCAATTACAAGATGACCACAGAAAATATTTTTGTTATAGCAAACTAAGATTATATTTGAATAATATTAATGTCCATACTTTCATAACTTGATTTTCATATTATTTCAATTTACTGTAAAATTGGAATTAGTAGTTATGTCAGAATGTCTTTTGATAGTCAAATGAAAGTTTGTCTAAGAAAAATACTGTATTTTGACTGAGAAAATCGACCTGTTTGAATAACAAATAACGTTATGTATGTGAAAGAATAAAGGAAAAATATTTATTTTGAATAAGATCAACATCTAGAAATTTTTTTAGTGTATTTTTCATGAGTTATTGGGTTTATAGAATTTTCTGACCTAGGAGATCATCATTATGTTAAACTTCTTTTATTTTATGTACCTGATCAAATAATCAGTCTTTGAAATTTCAAATATCTCTAATTATTATAAGAAACCAGATCCCAAAGTGCTGCATAGAGATGAAATTGAGAAATGAATTGAGATAAAAATACATAAACAATGAAAATTTCTCTTATAAGTTTGTATTTGTGAAATATGAACAAATATTTCCAACATTACAGATGACTACAAAAATTCCAGCTCATTAATTGATCAGCCTCACTAAATTCTCTCGGTGGAATCTCTTGGACTGTGTCAACATCTTCAAATAAAATATTTTCGTTATTCTGCTTTATCTCCATATAAATATTCAATACTCACAGCTTTTTCATCAAAGTATACTCGTGTTATCAATGCTGACACTTTTTTTTCAATAGTCCCTAAGAAAATATTCACATTATACACGTTAATTGAAGAATTTTCGCCTGAAATTAAAAAATCAATAAAAAGAAATATTCAATATGATATTACCAACCCAGAAGGTCTAATATAGGGCCTCTGTCGCAGTTCAACATTGTAAAAATGTTCTCGATGCCTTGTAGTACCATGATTAGTTCAGATTCAGCTTTCTTCGCATTCTCTTCATCTTTAATGGTCTAGAAACTGGTTCATTAGATATGTGCAGGAGTATATAACGACAGAGATTCGATAAATGGAAAAAAATGTGTTGGATATTTGGTAGCAAACTTCACAATTTGTTGAAAAGGGGATATTTTAAGGAGATATCATGAAGATATATAAGATCATGCACTTCATTCCATTCAGTTCGTATTGTAGAAACTTGCAGTAGAATTGACAAATTATTCTTACACATGAATGCTGCACAATAAAATATATGATGGAATTTCGATATAAAATTTCACTTACAAGGAAATCTTTCCATAACCAGGTGTACTTCGAAGTTTTGGGTGAACATACTAGTTTTTGAATAAGCACCTTTTTTAATAATCATGAAAAACGATCGATACAATCCTCGCAAAAACTTTATTTCACTATTACAATGGATTTTATCTACCTTGTAACTGAGAGAAACGTCTGTGCTTGACCTACACCGCTTTGTAAAGATGGAAAAGTAGAAAGTCACAAGATTTTTTCTCCAAAAATTATAACTAGTTACCTGTTTTACGGATTCGTCTAAATCTGCCTGAAGTAAATTCAAATTTGCTTGTCGCTCAGTAGCGCGAATCTTACCGATTTCCACTTGTTCATCTAAAAATAACGAAATATTCTGAGATTAAGTTGTCCTTGGAACTGACTACCAATAAAAAAGAACGACACATTATTTTAGCTTATATACCAATTTTCTCTTCCATTTCTAATATTCCAGAATTTAATTGTTCAATTTCATGGTTGAGCTCGTTAACGTAATTGAAGAGGGCAAAATTTTCCTCTTCTCGTTTCAAAAACTGAGAAGCGATCCGCTGGACATCATCTTCCTCACAAAATCGCTGAAATATGTCTACTGAAAGACTGAAAATACGTGACTGTTTCACCCAACTACCCTCACCTGTATTTTTTCCATAGTTTTTTCATACACATCTAATTGGTTTTCTAAGCTCTGAATCTCTGATTCTTTCTTTTTTCTTTCTTTCTCTTCCAAATCCTTCAAAATGCGCCTTTGACCCTTCACATTCAGAAACTCCTTTAGTGTCAAATCGTGATCAAGTTTTCGTTGAATTTCTCGCATTTCCTGAAATTATATTCAAATACTAAGACAGATTCTCTGAATTATTTTTCCTAAGAAAATTTTCCGATGAAAATTATGTTGTTAAAAAAGGTGGTGTACACAACTGTTAATTTAAAAAAAAACTTGCCTCAGAATGAGCTAAGAAATCATTTTGCGCTCTTTTTTTGAGCGCAACAAGTTTTGAGCACCATTCTTCACGTTGGTCAAAAGCTACAGTAGCTTGTTCTATCAATTCTGCCATGAATTTTTTTCCTCCGCTAATATCTTTCAATAATGCCTCCCATATTTCATTGAAATGACTCCTTAAATACATTAGAGGCAGAACCTCAAATTATTCTCTTTTTTGGCATTTGCAAATAAAATACCTTTCTTTTAGAAGATGGTCGATTTCTTCACGCAGTTTCTTGTTTTCAGTTAAAATGCAGCAAAATCGTTTTATAGAGTTGTCTAGCCTATTTTGTAATATTTTAATGGATTTTTGTCCACTCATCAAACGGTTCTGGTAGTGTTGATCGGTTACTGCCGACTTAGGTCTCAAATTTTTAATATCACCCTCCATCTGCAAAATAAATATTTTTATAATCTTTGAAATAATAACTAAAACTTGCAGATGGATTCAAATACCTAGTCAGTTATAAGGGACAATCAACTCACTAAATCTGGTCAGACATAATAGCTGTTTATAGGACAATTTATCGTCTTTGTACATTTTTGAAAATACCTAGACCCTGGATATGGTTTTTTGAACACAGATCCGCATTTGCTTTTCGAAAGGAGGTAGTAAAATGTTATCTTTGAACATTCTAATAATTTCTAATTTTTCGGATTTATTTATTATTACAATTTAAATCAAAATTCATGCATGGTTTCAGTTTTCTGTTATTCTCACATATGGTTTCTTTGTAAGGGGAATCATCATCATCACCACTTGGAAAAAATATATCTAAAAGAAAAATTAAAATCAGTGGATAGTACGATATATAAGCCTTCATTATTCTAGATATATTAATTATTTACTGCATCTCTAAGTTTTCAAAGTGATTTTATATTATTTTTCAATAAAGAAATTATATAAACAGAGGACGGTTGTGGTGATAACGACCGCCTTCAAAGATGGTATAGTCTATCCATTCCCAATTGGAACGGTAATAAAAATAAGAGTACAGTCATAAACATTTCTTGCCTGTGGCCCCTAGTCGCCCAGATAGTTAGTAAAGGTGCTATCAAATGTAGTTGAGGAGTAAAGGCTTGGACTGGCTGAATACTAATTTTTTGTCCGTTTCACAATATTTCTTTATCAGTGCCGTGTGTTCGTGGGGTAGTGAGTGGTTTTGCAAACCGATTTTTGAAAACTTTTTCTAGAGATCAATTACCCTAACACCAAACTGATATTTTGCACTGGACGCGCGTTTCGCTAACAAGGTTAGCATCTTCAGGAGAAGCAAATAGATACTGAATCTAAAGACAAGGGTTAGCTGTTTATATACCTGGTCCGATGTGGACTTTGTTGAATGATGATTATCCTAATTGATTTTTCGGTAATTAACTAGTGGAACCACTACCTGCAAATGAATTTGTCAACAATAGATTAAAAAGCGGACAAATTAATTTGCAGGTAGTGGTTCCACTAGTTAATTACCGAAAAATCAATTAGGATAATCATCATTTAACAAACAAAAACCACATCGGACCAAAAAACTTTAGGTATATAAACAGCTAACCCTTGTCTTTAGATTCAGTATCAATTTGCTTCTCCTGAAGATGCTAACCGTGTTAGCGAAACGAGCGTCGAGTGCAAAAATATCAGTTTGGTGTTAGGGTAATTGATCTCTAGAAAAAGTTTTCAACTTTCACACCAAAGTTCCAATCTCATCGTTTAAGCCGATTTTTGTGAAAATCTTAGTGTTTTGGGGGACTTTCATCAATATGGCTTTCTGGAGACCTTTTTGAAACAAATGATAACATTACGTGTGAGGAATCTGTGTCAATCGACAGGGATCCGGAATTTGAAAATAAGGACTTACACGTTCAAGTTCAGCGAGTAATTTTAAATATTCATGAATGCTTGAAGAAAGAAAACTGTCACACTTCACAGAATGCTATTGTGAATAGAATATGCGAGTTAACGAAACTATCTCGTTCGACAGTTCTTCGAGTCATTAAAATAGGGGATGTCATTGACCATGCAATGAAACGAAAACAATGGAATAAAAAATTCGCAAACGTTGATGGTGCAACAAAAAATGTGATTCGGCGAACAATTTATGGTATATACCAAAAAAATGAAGTAGGTACCAACCTTGGAAATGATTTGGTATCAATTACTCGATTATCCCGATTACAATTACAAATCTTTAGAAACTCTACGAGGTGTCTTATTGTCTTATGGTTTCAAATATAAAAAATTGATCAATCGGATGGTCATAATGGAATCGACACGCATTGTTTCAACTCCGACAAGAATATTTGAATGAAAAGCTACCAGCAGACATATAATCTACCGACGACGAAACATGGGTTTGACACCCATGATGTTGTCAAATATGGCTGGGTAGACGAAACCAAGTATTGGTTGAACACACCTTCAAGGGAAAAACGTGTTACAATTTTGCATGCCGGGAATGAAAGTGGTTTCGTACCTAACGCTTTGCTTCTATCGGCCAAAAATATAAAGTATTCGTCTGCTGATTACCACGAAGATATGACTGCGGCTTTATTCGAAACTTGGTTCAGTGAGCAGCCTCTCCCAAATATTCCTCCAAACTCGGTTATTGTTATGGATAACACTTCGTATCATTCTCGGTTATTATTGACTACAATACCAAACAATAACACAAAAAAAGCAGTAGATATTGTTGATTTCATGCGAAATCATGACATGGACATACCCGAAAAGATTCCAACGAAAAAGGTATTACTGGCGACCATAAAACAACGTAATTTCAAAAAAGAGTATATTATTGATTCGATGTGTGAAACACGTGGTCATTTTCTCTTACGTTTGCCTCCATACAATTGTGTGTTCAATCCAATTGAAATGGTTTGGGCCACAATGGAAGAAAGCTTGCGGAAATGTAATCAGTCACCGACTTTGAATACTGTAGTGCTTGACAATATAAGGCGAGTGGTGAATGAAGTACCTAGGTAATAGTAATTTGTGGAAGAACTGTGTGGCCCACGTTATGAAAGAAGAGAACAAATATTATGTGCAAAGTTCCATATAAATCCGATCGTTATTCAACCCGATGATGATTCCACCTCATCCGAATATAGCGAAGAAGAATTTTGATTTTTTTAGCAATATTGTTGGCCTCTATTATTTTGTAAATATATGTTTGATGAGAATTTGTTGTGATTATTTGTGTTTTCATTGTATTTTAGAGTTTTCGACTCGAAAATCAACTACCTCAAATTTCGAAGTTTTTCATAATTTCCCATGGTGAAAAAATTCACTTGAGATAACTTTTTCATGAGATGATCAATTGTTATGATTGTAAGAATAAGTAACTGAAAAACTACCACTGAAAAATAATATGCCTACGCCTATGTCGAGGCGGGAAGTGAGGTGTAGTTAAAATAAATGTCACGATTGCATAAATATCGAAGTGAAAGACAAATTGAGAGAACTGGCGGCCCACTACGCCAGTAACCAGGCTGGATATCGACGAGGGCGTCAGTTCTATACAAATTTTGAAAAAATATGAAGCACATGTTCATGTGAACGAAAAAAACAAAAGATCTCCCGATGAGGAGGCGACTGTTACATTATTATTCATTAGTTTTTTAACAAAAAAAAGTATGAAAAAGTAAATAGGATAGCTGCATTGCGTAAAGCATGAGCGCTGCGATCCCCCCCCCCCCCTCGACGAAGCTCCTGTTAATTATTAACAGCTTGGTCAAATGCGCCCGAGATAATATAAATATCTGCTATATTAGAAACTCAGAGGGATGTCACTAGCGATTTATAGTGAACAAAAAAATCAAAGATGTTACAGCATGAATATTCTGTAACATTGCTCTTGAACGACAAAGAAAATTATACTTACACCTAAATTATGTGGAACCTTATTTTTCCATGTGTGATTTCATCACTTCCTCACTTTTTTACCATTAGAGAAAATTCAGGCAGCGATGGTTAATAATTAATGAATGAAAAGGGGGATATTTCATTGCTCTGAGGAAAATTAAGCATTAGAGTTAAGAGGAGGCATAATTTTCAGAAATTTCTCCACCAGAATTGGGAAAACATTATTCTCTAAGCACGTTTCGGTAAACCAAAGAACAAGTGTAGGACTGCCACCTTAGGTAAACAGCTTAAAACTGTTTTTTTTTCATTTTACTGTTTAGAACCACCAGAATACATATAGTTATTGATTTTTGTAAACTTTTAGGTTCATTTTCAAATATTTTTGAGATTCTATTATTCATTTTTTCTCAACAAAACATTCCAATAACTGATTTGTTACCAGACAGTTATTAGCCTCTGTAAACTCAAACTGAAAATCATAAGACATCTGTATTTCTAGTGAAGAGTAAAGTCGATCATTATGTTAAATCGTTTCAAAATGATGGTAACATAGAGTAAAAAAAAACGGATTGAAATATTTCTGATCACTTTTATAATTTCAATATCAGCACTGTAAAATATATACGTTTGTAAAAACAGCATGAAAGACAAAAAATAACCCAAGTAACAAACTAAAACATTTATTCATCACATAAAAAAATATTATGGTCAACAAATAAACTTAAACTCAAAATAACGAAACATAACATCAATTCTCATAAATATAACATTCTTCCTCAATGCCCTTTACACAACCATATCCTTTCTCCGATGGATCTGCCTCTTGTGATGGTTCAAGCTAGCTCTATACTTCGTCTTAAACTTGCAAAGCCCACATTCGTGAAGATCCATCTCATCTTTCTTGAGGTGTTTCACTGAATGTTCCTTCATGTGGTGGATCTTTTTTGTTTCATAGGGACAATAGTGACATTTGTACCACCAGCAATGTTTGGATGGTTCAATCACTTTCGTGAAAGAAGAACAATCAATCGGGAATTTCTCTCTATTACCCTCCTCTTCAACTTTAATTTCTTCTGGTTCTATTTTAACTTCCTGCTTCATCTGATTATGCTTACACCTGTGATTATCGATGTACTCCCGATATTTTGACCTGCACTTGCAGAACTCGCATGAGTAAATTGTTTTATTGCTGTGTGTTTTCATATGTCTCCTAAGATGTTTTTTATACTTTGACTGATAGGTGCAATCGTTACATTTGTACATAGTTAAGTCAGTCAGTTTTTTATGTCTGAGCATGTGTGACGTGAGACTGGTCCTCCATTTTGATTCGAAGTTGCAAATATCACATTTATGGGTTTTGATATTATCAGAATTTTTGTGGACTAGTAAATGGGAAATGAGGCTGTCTCGACGATGTGTTTTGTAAGGACAGTGCGAACAAGGAAAGTTGCAAGGTGCTTTACTTCTTGGTTTCAACCTTGGGGAGAAGTTGCAGCCTTTGTAGGTACTGAAAAATAAATATACTTTACTATGTCATTTCAGTAAGGACCTGTATACTACGTCAACCGGTAACATAAAATCCCATTATATCTAAATATAGGTAATAGGGATAATTTGTTCAAATAAGTTTGTGATGAAATACGAAATATCATCATAGCAGTCAATAAAAATAAATTCAGACAATTTATTTTGTTTATACTGCCAATCAATATGACCACATCAAAGTAAGGTTAGGTTTAGTTAAGTGAATGTCAAATACTGTTACCATAATCCATTCTTCACTGAATATATCCTGAGTTCACTAAGTTTAATTGGTTAAAATGTGTGCAAATCTAATAATTTGCCAGTATAAAAATTTGATAACATTCTTCTACTTATGGTCTCATGATTTTATTTTTAATCATTATTGATGAGCCTGTGCCTAAAAGCAGAACTTTCAATATTATTGGATTTCACAAAATTTTTGGTCATGTACGAGGGATATTTCTGATACTATTTCCAAAAAACAAAACAGTAATATAAACTTAACAAACCCCAAAATAGAAATTTCAAAATATATGAATAAACATAGAATTATTCAGTTCCGAAAATTATAATTACCAGTAAAAAATATTGATGTTGACATCACTTTTCATTTTGGAATAGAACTGACCGATACTTGTTAAAAATCCATATCAAAACTAACTAATATGATTTATTTTGATTTATATGATCATGTAAACCTTTAATAGTGAAAATCAAAATAAATCTTATTAGTGAGCTTGTTTGTCATTTCTATTTCTAGACAATGTAAATACAAGATTTGCTCATATAATTTCAATTATCACAGTCAAAGACACAGTAAAAGTTGAAGAAAGAATTCTAGAAAACTTACTTGATATCAGAATGTCATTTTTACCTATGTTTGAAATTCTTAACGAATTATCAAGAAGAGTGATAATCCATAAGTTTCTCCCCAAGATTGTAATCTATCATATACCTATTTCAGTTTGGCGGACTATACTCAATTCCATAATAGTAGGCACTAAAATCTCAGAAATATTATTGCATTAAAACAAAAACATTGTCTTCAGGTTGTGATTTTATGTATTTTATCATCTGATAAAATATATAGAATGATAATAGATATAGAATCACAACCTGACAACAATGTTTTCTTTTAATGCAACTATATTTCTGAGACTTAAGTGCCTATTATTGTGGAATTTTAGTACAGCCCACCTGTTTGCAGTTAGACAGACTATTTAAACTGTCAAACTGAAACTCTTCATTATTGTGTAATAAGTTTTCAACGTATAACTCAGTCATTTTGTTGTACTTATAGTATTTCCACTGATTATGGAGATTTTCTTGCTCATCAGTATTCTAAGCAAATGGTAGTCTATCAAATGTATACATATACTTCAAGTTTTTTTATAAATTAAGAAAATGAAACATAACGTCAACTTACCCTTCAGTTTTCATATGTATTGCATTCTCCACCTTGCAAGGTCCAGATCCTATATCTTCAAAGAATTCATCATCGGGCTCGCTTTCTTCCTCCTGTTTGATGAAATATATGCTGCTTTTGAACTCACTCTTTGTTCTCGCAGTATATTCATAAACATTCTCTAATTTTATTTCTTGATTGGAAGGAATATTCTCAAAGGACATGTAATTTATTATTAACTGTTCAGAATCGCTGCACTGGGCGATGAAGTTGAACTGATGTTGCAAAGATTCTATGCAACTGTTACATGCAAGAGGATCAATAGATATGGTCAAATCCTGAAATCACAAGATCACTTCTAATATATCTACACTAAAAAACTTAATCTGTTATCAAACTTACGATCTCTGAACAACATCTTTCTAGAATATCTTTCAAGAACAAGTCTTCTGAATTACTTAGGGATGTCAAATAATCCATAGAGTAATACTTCAAGCAAAATCTGCATATATTTTCCTCTTCTTTCTTTATAATTTCTCTACATATATTTTTATTCATTATAATATCTTGTAGATTGACCACTTCAGTTACACCCATCAGGAAAGTTTTCAAGTATATATCTTGAGAGAGGCATGTCGATTTAAATTCGAAAGATTTCTGTAAATTTTTTGAGCAGGCCGAACAAATCACAGGACCTTTACTCACAGAAGTATTCTAAAAAATAATAATTCACTGTTGGGTTTAGAAATACGTGTGCCTATCTTGTACTTACCATCTGTATGGGGAGAATTTCCAACATTTTTGTGGTCAAATTATCAAAAACTTTTGCATCTTGAGTTTTTTCCAAGCAGACCCTACAAATCTTTGATGTCTCTAGATCCATTTTATTATAAATATTCCCACAATCCCATTAAATTACAAAAACAATATTGTTGACAGTTTGAATCTTCAAAATTCAGAAAAATAAAATTCAAACAAACGAAGACATAACCTATTTTCAGAATAGACTTTTAAGAAGAAGAACAATTTGGTGGATTCAATTCCCATGACAATTAGGCACTGAAAAGTTGAATTAAAAAATGTTCAAATTTGAATGCCAGCGCCTCTTGTGGTTGTCTTATAGAAAACATTCCAAAAAAACCGAATATCGTGATTTTTTTTATAATAATATGGATTTTTTTACCTTCCATCAACTCTTCAATAATAACAATGAAAACAACCCCAAGAAGACGCCGGATACTCTGTGAAAAATTGGAACTAAGGGGAGTTATAACGATGCAATCATCCAATAGATTCCATCAGTGGAACGTTTTTCGGTAGATTTGAAAATTCGGCATTTTCTTCTATGTATTATGTAGAAATTGTAGTTTTATTTGCAATTCCAAGAAGCAATTTTCACAAATTTGTTCAAGGGTAACGTATACGATGAAATCAAATTATTTGAAAACTGAGACATATTCGTATTCCTATTACTAATTTTTCAAAATAATTACTTTTTCAACCGTAAATTTCCGAGCTCTCAACCCTGAGATTCTAAGCCTGAGCCAACTTCGATCCTGAGAATTTATCGAGTTGAAAGTAAATTGATTTCTGCCACGTAACGTGATTGAAGATTGAAGAGACTGCGGATACCAATAATGATTGATCCATATTATTGGGTCGTATAGTTACTAACAAGTCCTACCTAGAACATACTGCTGATAAAAAAAAAAATTATAGGGTCCATGGGATTTGAACACACGATCTTTGGATTACAAGGCATATGTTACAACTACATACGCCAACTCACGTTATTTTAAGGAGGATTATTGATTAGTCATGAAAGACTTTCTACAGTTGGACTGAATACTACTTAGTCATCGTCAGTAACTTCACAGGGATTTAATATTACCAATAGCACGAACTGCATGTGTGAACTTTTCTAAATGATTTTTTGGTAGGTGTTCTGATTGAAGTCTTTCTATCAAAGAGATTTTCAATAAGAGTTGTACAAAAAAAATTTTTTAAAGAATTTGATTTCTAGGTAGCCGTGGAAATATGAAGCTTATGACAGTTTGGTGACTTTTATAAGTAATTGATAAATGGTCATTGACGGTGTTTCAAAAAATCGCCAAAAATGAATGCAAATATTGATTATTCAAACGAAGTTCTTATGAAATTATTTATTATACACGGACAGTGTGATCAAATCATTGCCAGAACTTGTTGAAAATTCTACCAAATGTATCCTGAATTAACACCAATGAACGAGAAGAAGTTTGTAAGATTACAAAATAATTTCCTTAAGTATGGCTTCATGTTAAAAGCGCCTTCAACATTACCAAAACCTGTTACTTCAAATGAGGACAATACTGTTAACGTTTTGACATATTTTTATGCATATCCAGAAGCTTCCATTCGCAGTGCAGAAAAAGATTTAGGTGTATCACATGCTTCAGTACAACGAATTTTGAAAAATCACGGAATGCATCCTTATAAATTTAACAAAGTTCAAGCTCTAAAGGCAGAAGACTTCGAACGTAGAATGCATTTTTGTGAATCCCTTTTGATTCATACACAGGAAGATCGGGAATTTTTGTCAAAAATAATTTTGAGCGACGAATCAAAATTTACGAGGGATAGTATTTTCAATAGAAGGAATAAACATTTTTGGGCTGATCATAATCCTCATGTTACAAAAGAAATGGGTTTTCAAGAAAAATTTGACCTGAATGTTTTCTGTATTCTGAAGAACAATAAAATTAGCTTTTTTTATTTATGAAGAGAGATATCTCCAAATATTAAGGCGACTGTAACCGATTTTCTTGAAAATTTGTCTGGATCCCCAGAAAATTGAAAAAGCAACCACAAGTCGCGTACAGAAAACCATTTTAAAGTGTTTAGAATGTAATGGACAACATTTTCAGCATTTATTGTGAAAATGTGATATTTTGTTTACAATTTTGTTATTTTGAATCGTCCTATTCTGTTATTGTCTGTACTTTCATATCTTTTAGCCCACAAAATCTTACTTTTTACCTAGAAATGACTGATTTTTGGTACAGTTGTTCCCTGGAAACTTTGAGCCATAATTAAGGAAATTATTTTGTAACCTTACAAACTTCCTCTCGTTCATTGGTGTTAATTCAGGATACATTTGGTTGAATTTTTTACACGTTCTGACAATGATTTGATCACTTTGTTCATGTGTATAATAAATAATTTCATAGGAACTTCGTTTAAATAATCGATATTTGCATTCATTTTGGAAGATGATTCGAAACACCGTCGATAACTCTTTATAAATTACTTATAAAAGTAACCGAACTGTTATAAGCTTGATAATTCCACTGTTACCTATATCCAAATTCTAAAAAAAAATAATGTTTCTAGAAGAAGCGACTTTATTGAGAAAACTCGACGATTTAGGTATAGGGACATGATATATCATCTTGAAGCATTTTTCACCATCTTTCAATTTACCGAGTAATATACAGGGGGTTTCATTTGAAAAAATGAACTTTTGACTACTTTTATGCACAATGGAAATAATAGTCATTTTAGCACGCCCTGTATGATATGGAGTCGATGTCTTGGTGTTATTTGAATATTTCGAGTTTGTCCAAACTATCATCAAAATATCAACTTTTCATGAATTGAGAGTACTGATATACTTAATTTTAATTAAGGCTATGTTTTGGACCATATTTTTTTATCTCGAAAACAACTGCAACTCCATGCACCATTGGTGTAAAGTCGGCATCGGGCACACAACATGGGGCCTCAGTCGTATCGAAAACGTTCTTTATGCACAATATGTTATGTTGAGCAACTAAATATGTTGCATGAATACTCCCATAAATTATCGATCATCCCAACGTGTTATGTTACTGAGTTAACTGACAATTTACCTTTCTCATTTGAACATCCAACTCTTTCAGTTGCTCCTTTTCATTCTTCACACAAATAACCAATTTTTGGAAATCTTCTAGAAGTTTGTGAATATTTTTACCGAGTTTTTTGTCATTTCTTCTTTGATTGGTGCAGGTGGAGACCTTTATATCTTCCGAAACTTTTTCTTTTTCTTTTTTAAGCATTTCGATAATTTTTCTTTGTTTTTCTAGTTTTGAACCAGTCTCATCTAAAAAGGCTATTCTATCATCTTCCATTATACGAAGCTGAAACAATTTTCAAATTTCACCATTTTTATATTCTGAAATTCTTTTATTATCCAAAAATCAGATTAAAATTACAAATGAAGAAATTATAATCCAATAAAAAACAGAACCAAAATTCAATGAAGAAATAGACAATATTGCGTAGAAAATTGTATTCGGAATATCAAATCTAATAGTCATAATTTTATTTCACTCTAATACTATAGGTGTTTACCTGACGACGAAGTCTAGACAGTTCTTCCTCAGCAATAGTTATCATCTCTTTATCGGTACTTGAACTAGTGATTCTTGTTTGGTTCATGATTTTGTTTTTGTTTTACTTGAGAACAATTGGGCACTTTCTCTAATATTTATGTCAGAAATCAGAAGCCTGCTATGACTCAAATTATATTTAGACGTTGCCTGGTTACCAAAACAACCGTTATATATAAGAGAGGTTTCTGAAGTGGAAGAATACAATAATAGTTCACAATGTTTGTTTGAAAGTGGTTGACAATGTTTCGTAGTGCATTTCATCAGTTCGAACTTCCTTTGTCTAATATAATGTAAATTTATTTGAAATCCCTGAAAGAATCTGTGAAAAATCAAAAAGATTAGCTGAAAAAAAAAATAACAATTTTATTAAGCAAAAAAAAACTGAAATTACAAAGAAATAACATACAAGCAACAACCAAAAAAAAAGAACTATTAACACGAGCTGAAAATTATCACCCGAAGACGATTGTCGATACTACCAATCGAAACGTCATGAAGTAACTTGGTTTGGAATTTTTTTATTTTTAATTTTCATTTATTTTCAGTTTTTATCAATATTTCAATTTTCTATCTTTTTTGGTTGTTGCTTGTATGTTATTTCTTTGTAATTTCAGTTTATTTGTTTGATAACATTGTCATTTTTTTTTCAGCTATTCTTTTTGATTTTTTACAGATTATTTCAGGGATTTCAAATCAATTTATATTATATTTGACAAAGGAAGTCCGAACTGATGAAATTCAATAGTTCACATATTCAGGGCTGACGTAGTCTTCCCTTTTCAACTTTTGAACAGAAAAAAATTTCAATGTTGGACAAAATTTCTGATACTTTTGATGAGAAACACAATGTAATGTGTTGCATCACTCGTCGTCAAAAGGGTGCTACCATTTTTTTTCAAATGAAAAGGGGTCTTGTGATTCTTTTTTTTTGATAGTTACTCCAATTCTCAACCCAACAGTTTTTTATTTTTGCAAATTGGGTTTAGCTTTTGCTGAGTAGTAAGCAGTGTTCGAAATGTTCACCATTCACTTCCTAATAATAATGAAAGCTTTTTTACAAATTCATTTCTGCATTCATTTTGGAATGTTTCTGTGTTAATTTCGTTAGGAGCACCTCTTATTCTATCTATGAGCATTGGAATAAACAGCGGTGGTGAAACGTTTATTTTAGATTTCACGAACATGGACGTAGAAAAATAAATGGACTCAGTTATTTACCTCATTAAATGAAGCCGGAGAATGGGAGCATTCTAAGATCACGATGTCTACGTCCATGTTCACGAATCCCCGTAAAAATTCAAGGGTGTCATATAAATTGCTCTAATGAACTATTCTGAGGAACTATGTTTGCCTAATCACCGATTTAGGTGATGACAGTTATCACCCAAAGACGATTGTGGATACTTACAATCGAAACGTTATGAAGTAATTTGGTTTGAAATCTTTTACAATTTCGTTTTTAATTGTTCACTTTTTAATTTTTTGCTTATTCTCATTTCGTTGTAATTTCATTTCACGTTTCATATAATTATTTTTAGCTATTCATTTTGATTTGTAATTTTATTTGTTCTTTCAGAGATTTCAAATATCATTTTAGACGATGGAAGTCCGAATTAGTAAAATTCACCATGAAACATTGTCAACCACTTTCAAACAAATGAATATGAAACTGTTAATAACTCGGGAAATTGTTGGATAGAAATTGAAATAGCTATCAAACAAGTTATTACAAGACCCCCTTCCCATAAAAAAAAGTTGGTATCGCCCTCTTGGTGATAAATAATACAAAAATTTTGTCAGCAAAAAATGCAATTCAAGAGGAGTATGACGCAGAAAAGAAAAGTTAAGAGAAAAGTTACGGAGTTCAAAGACATGCCGAAGGCAGTTCGCCAGCTCAAGAAAACCAAACAACGCCAAAACAATCAGGAACAGAGTGAAAGCGACGAAGAAGAAACTTACCGTCTAGTTTGCCCGGAACCGCATGGCAGTAGTCGCCCTGGAGAGAAATGGGTGCGGTGCATTGAATGTCGTCACAAGAATGTACTCGACAAGAAGATCTTTACATGTGTCACAATTGCTTGTCAGAATGAATATTTTTAATTATTAATGTAATTTATTTTATATTAGAATACATATTTCTCTAATCTGAATGCTGTTTCAATTGTCCCATGTATATGTTTCATTCGTCCCCGGCAAGAGGACGATTGAAACAGTTTGATGAGCTACAGTTTTTGTTTTATATCTTATTTATCTATCATTTTAGGCGAACGAAATGATGTAAATAGAAACCCGATTGAATATGCTCCCTTTTACCCATGTCATAATTAAGAAATTTGCGATAGCCGCAGAGAAAAAAATTCAAGAAGCAAAAATGTATCAATTGTCCCCAGTCTACCCTACATTATAGAATATAAAATGCTTTTAGGAATTCTTGCAATAATGAAGTTCTACTTCAAGGTTAGAACAAAAGAAAAAGTAAGTAGAATTGAAACTGTTGAGTATAAACGCTGCTATTGATTCATTGAGACAAGTTTCTGAAATTAATTAAACTTGATGATAATGTAAAAATTTGTTTCGACTAATATCAAATAAAGTTTGACTAATGGGAGAATTGTTAATCAACATTTGTCAAATTCGAATATGTACAAAGTATTCTTTAAAATCAATTTGTTTTCATTTCGCCACTTTTCATATCTTTCAATTTTCAATGAAAAATAATATTCATTGGCACGAGATTGAAGGAAATAAACTGATTCGTTAAAGTTCCATTCTACTGAAAGGTTGGCAAAATATCTAATTCTATTGATGGTTTATCGTTGACATCCCAAGAATATTCATCAAAAGCAGTTTTCCCTACAGAATTACATCAATTCAATATTCGATACTTTAATACAGTTCATACATTCATCAAAAATTATTTAGGAGTTTATTGTCGAATATATTCTTACCTTAATTCTCGAAATATTTCGTCAGTGCAAAGAATTGGACAGAGCTGTTTGAAATCGTATGGATGGAAAAAACTTAACTAATGATTAGTGATATACTGTGAGTTTGTATGTATACGATATAATTCTAGGTAAAAGGCCATAAACAATATCAGTGATGTATCCAGACAAAGTTGAGTGGTTTAGTTCATGCATGTGTTGGTGAAGTCCACAAAAAAGATAAGAGAAACATAAAGGAACTCATTTTACATGGAATAGTTTTATGGATGTTTATGATGGCGATAAAAGAAATCGAAAAAGAATAATACTTTTCAGCGACTTTTTCTAAAATATGTTGATAAATCAGGAAAAAACACACTCATTGTGCTATCTTACAAAATTACCATTTGAAAAATGAAATATCTGTTCTCATTGATCAATTGAAATTGTAAATGTATTCAAATATTTGGGATTCATGTCTATGTTTTTTAAATAGTTTCTCAGCACCTGAGTAACAACTCAAAAATAATAGTCTATAGAACCATTCTACAACTGCATTTTGAATATAGTTCAACTTGGCCGTATTTGTTTGTTTTGAATTAAATCGGTACACTACATAACTTGCAAAACCGGGCTATGACAATTATATTGAGTTGTACCAGACTAACTGCAATAAATTTGGTGTTAGGAATGCTAAACTACTGAGAAACGGATTTACTTTCTAACTATTATAAAATGGTGAATAACTTAGTGCATATACAGACTTATTTTGAATAATTTTTTCATTTATATAATCAAATTCACAACTACTATACAAGAAACAGAGAACAGATTCAAATATAGCTAGTCCGTTTAGGCTGTTTAACACGAAAACTATTATTTTCAAAGGTTTAGAACACTTCAACAGTCTTCCTGAAAATGTAAAAAATTCAGGTAGGTAGTGTGTTCCACTTCAAGCACAACTTGCTTCGACTTATAAAATAAATGTTAAATATTTTCCTAAATAACTTTTACTTATTACTTAGCTCATGTAGATCATCTCATGCGGTTTTGTTTGTTAATCTGATGCTTTGTATATACTTATTACCTTATTCATATATACTGTAATTCCAAAATAGTAGGCACTGAATTCTCAGAAATGACTGACGTTTTTGCCTTGATCTGTCTCTTTTACGGAAATTAATTATACTAAGCAGATGAGAAAAAATGATGATGAAAATATATAGAATCACAAGCTTAACAACAATGTTTTCGTTTTAATGCAATAATATTTCTGAGAATTTAGTGCCTACTATTATGGAATTGTACTTATAGTTGTGTAGCTTGGATGAATCTATTTTTTATTTTGAATAAATGAAATAAAAATAAATTAATATATGAATTATCGAATTCGTATTCTGTATGCTGAGGTACTTTGTTGCAAAAAGGCAATTTTGCTTCATTAACAAAAAAAAATTCTATCCTAGGATGGCCCTATGTACAGGGTGTTCCATTTGAAAAAACTGAAAAAAGGGGATTCCAAGACATTTGGTGTTGAATGAATCCAGTCTTTGAGATAAATTTTACTATAACTTCTGAACCACCCGGTATAAACTCAAACAACCCTATGTTATTGAGAAACGCTATGCCCAAGTAATTCAATCGAATGAAAATACCCTCAAGCATAAATGCTTTGAGGGTCCACCCTCAATTTGTATGGTTCTTCATGAGAAATAATTAAAATCTGACCGAATGCACTTCTTCTGACCATTGAGGAGGCTACCTAATTTTGCTCTTCATGGTGGTCGTGGCAGCGGACGACAACGTCCACCCACAAAGAGGATACGTGGATACCATGTGATATCGCGGGGCTTCTTTTTGTCCATCAGTAAAAGTAACTTCTATGTGAAATGTGAAAGTTTTTATCAAATCTGAAGTGAAGGCCCCCTTCATTCATGCCGGTATCCAGACCGGGTGATTCGGATTACCACGAAAGAGGCCATGTATGAGAAAAAAAAACAAAAAGCTCTCCCAAGGAGGAGGCGTACTTTGGAATATTGTACCTAAAGAAAGAAAAAATGTGAGAAATAAACTGTAGGGTGACACCTTTGTATATAGACAATCCAA